AGTCACGTGACTTAAGTAAACTAGATAGTAAGTCACGTGATTGGATAGCGTAAACTAGACAGTAAGTCACGTGATTGGATAGTGTAAACTAGACAGTAAGTCACGTGACTTAAGTAAACTAGATAGTAAGTCACGTGATTGGATAGCGTAAACTAGACAGTAAGTCACGTGAGTGATTTAAGTAAACTAGACAGTAAGTCACGTGAGTGATTTAAGTAAACTAGACAGTAAGTCACGTGATTGGATAGCGTAAACTAGACAGTAAGTCACGTGAGTGATTAAAGTAAACTAGACAGTAAGTCACGTGAGTGATTTAAGTAAACTAGACAGTAAGTCACGTGAGTGATTTAAGTAAACTAGACAGTAAGTCACGTGAGTGATTTAAGTAAACTAGACAGTAAGTCACGTGAGTGATTAAAGTAAACTAGACAGTAAGTCACGTGAGTGATTTAAGTAAACTAGACAGTAAGTCACGTGAGTGATTTAAGTAAACTAGACAGTAAGTCACGTGATTTAAGTAAACTAGACAGTAAGTCACGTGATTTAAGTAAACTAGACAGTAAGTCCAGCGAGGCACGTGATTAGTTTGAGAAAACTAGACAGCAAGTCACGTGATTGGGTTGCATGAATTAGATTGGATTGTAAGTCGCTGTCATTTTAGGGCAATGAATGTCAACTAGGCTTCACAGGTCGTATCAAGATGTAAATTTTTTGTATTGCAGCTCAAATTGGCCAATTGGCCGCTATAAACGAATGAAATAGAAGTTATATAAAAAAATATTTCAACCATTATCGTAGTGCGCCCCCCCCCCCCCCCAGGGAAAAAAGTCTAATAGAAATAATGCTTGGGAGTAGGGTAACAATTGTATGACCCAACTGGTGTGTGACAGTACTCTACAAACAACTGGTGTGTGACAGTACTCTATAAACAACTGGTGTGTGACAGTACTCTACAAACAACTGGTGTGTGACAGTACTCTATAAACAACTGGTGTGTGACAGTACTCTATAACCAACTGGTGTGTGACAGTACTCTATAACCAACTGGTGTGTGACAGTACTCTACAAACAACTGGTGTGTGCCAGTACTCTACAAACAACTGGTGTGTGACAGTACTCTACAAACAACTGGTGTGTGCCAGTATTCTACAAACAACTGGTGTGTGACAGTACTCTACAAACAACTGGTGTGTGCCAGTACTCTACAAACAACTGGTGTGTGCCAGTACTCTACAAACAACTGGTGTGTGCCAGTACTCTACAAACAACTGGTGTGTGCCAGTACTAAGCTAACCAACTCTTATGCCCCATCACTTACTGAGCTAACCAATGCTAATGCCCCATCACTAACTGAGCTAACCAATGCTTATGCCCCATCACTTACTGAGCTTACAACTGTTATGCCCCATCACTTACTGAGCTAACCAACTCTTATGCCCCATCACTTACTGAGCTTACCAACTCTTATGCCCCATCACTAACTGAGCTAACCAACTCTTATGCCCCATCACTTACTGAGCTTACAACTGTTATGCCCCATCACTTACTGAGCTAACCAACTCTTATGCCCCATCACTTACTGAGCTAACCAACTCTTATGCCCCATCACTTACTGAGCTAACCAATGCTAATGCCCCATCACTTACTAAGCTAACCAATGCTTATGCCCCATCACTAACTGAGCTAACCAATGCTTATGCCCCATCACTTACTGAGCTTACAACTGTTATGCCCCATCACTTACTGAGCTAACCAACTCTTATGCCCCATCACTTACTGAGCTTACCAACTCTTATGCCCCATCACTAACTGAGCTAACCAACTCTTATGCCCCATCACTTACTGAGCTTACAACTGTTATGCCCCATCACTTACTGAGCTAACCAACTCTTATGCCCCATCACTTACTGAGCTAACCAACTCTTATGCCCCATCACTTACTGAGCTAACCAATGCTAATGCCCCATCACTTACTAAGCTAACCAATGCTTATGCCCCATCACTTACTAAGCTAACCAATGCTTATGCCCCATCACTTACTAAGCTAACCAATGCTAATGCCCCATCACTTACTAAGCTAACCAATGCTTATGCCCCATCACTTACTGAGCTAACCAACTCTTATGCCCCATCACTTACTGAGCCAACAAACTCTTATGCCCCATCACTAACTTAGCTGAGTGTATTTACCAAGGACATTTGGTTGCTAACCTATTTGAGCCTGCTATCAGAGAAATGCTGCCAGATAAAAAAAAATGGAAGTACAGACAGAGTCGGGAAGGAGCTGGCCAGAATACAGAGATGCTGCAAAAATCAATAAAACCATCGCATCATTGGCACTGGGTTATGGCCCCAAGCTGGGGGGGGGGGAAGCTTGATTTCAGGGGGATCAACTGTTTATTATCACAACATTTTGGCTATTACATCTTTTAAGGGCCATGGCATTTATTTGGAAATCATTTACCTACAGAATCTAACATCAGTATAACTTGTTTTGTAGCCAACCAAGTTGAGAGATTTTGTTGCCTTCTAAGTCAGGGCAAGAGATTTTGTTGCCTACTAAGTTAGACTACATTTTGTTGCCCACTAAGTAAAGACTGAACATTTTGTAGCCCACTAAGTAAAGACAGAAGATTTTGTTGCACACTAAGTAAAGACTGAACATTTTGTAGCCCACTAAGTAAAGACTGAACATTTTGTTGCCCACTAAGTAAAGACTGAAGATTTTGTTGCCCACTAAGTAAAGACTGAAGATTTTGTTGCCCACTAAGTAAGACTGAAGATTTTGTTGCCCACTAAGTAAAGACTGAAGATTTTGTTGCACACTAAGTAAGACAGAAGATTTTGTTGTCTCTTAAGTAAGACTGAAGATTTTGTTGCCACTAAGTAAGACTGAAGATTTTGTTGCCCACTAAGTAAGACTGAAGATTTTGTTGTCTACTAAGTAAGACTGAACATTTTGTTGCCCACTAAGTAAGACAGAAGATTTTGTTGTCTCTTAAGTAAGACTGAAGATTTTGTTGTCTACTAAGTAAGACTGAAGATTTTGTTGCCCACTAAGTAAGACTGAAGATTTTGTTGCCCACTAAGTAAGACTGAAGATTTTGTTGCCCACTAAGTAAGACAGAAGATTTTGTTGTCTCTTAAGTAAGACTGAAGATTTTGTTGTCTACTAAGTAAGACTGAAGATTTTGTTGCCCACTAAGTAAGACTGAAGATTTTGTTGCCCACTAAGTAAGACTGAAGATTTTGTTGCCTACTAAGTCCGGGCAAGAGATTGTGTAATCTTGCATTAATTGACATCACATAAGTTTTCATTTAAAGTTATGGTAATTACAAGCTACACATTAATATATGAAGAAAGCTGGTGCACATAAGTACATAAAACAAAGGCACTTAAAGCAGGCTCACATTGAAAGGATAAGACATTTTAATGTCGCATTAAGTGACAATAAGGGGCACAATTCAATTATTTGATTTTTTTTATTTTTCTTTGAATTATCTCCCTGTATTTGTTTTACACATTTAAGTGGTCATCCATCTATGACTTGATATATGACAATGCACAGGGAATTGGGGTCTCTGGTCTATGTGGTTGTCTGCACTTTGAATTTCAATATTGATTTTCTTTTATCTTACAAGAAATGCAACTACATTTACATCAAAGATGTAAAATTAACAGCTTTTTAAAGAAGAAGATAAACAAAAGAAAGTACTCTTAGTGATCTGTCAAAAAAAAAAGGATGGTGCTCTTAATTAATTGAATGTGTGTGGCTTGTAATAAATGGATGGACCCCCTTAATTAATTGAATGTGTGTGGCTTGTCATAAATGGATGGACCCGCTTAATTAATTGAATGTGTGTGGCTTGTAATAAATGGATGGACCCCCTTAATTAATTGAATGTGTGTGGCTTGTAATAAATGGATGGACCCCCTTAATTAATTGAATGTGTGTGGCTTGTCATAAATGGATGGACCCGCTTAATTAATTGAATGTGTGTGGCTTGTAATAAATGGATGGACCCCCTTAATTAATTGAATGTGTGTGGCTTGTAATAAATGGATGGACCCCCTTAATTAATTGAATGTGTGTGGCTTGTCATAAATGGATGGACCCGCTTAATTAATTGAATGTGTGTGGCTTGTAATAAATGGATGGACCCCCTTAATTAATTGAATGTGTGTGGCTTGCAATAAATGGATGGACCCCCTTAATTAATTGAATGTGTGTGGCTTGTAATAAATGGATGGACCCCCTTAATTAATTGAATGTGTGTGGCTTGCAATAAATGGATGAACCCCCTTAATTAATTGAATGTGTGTGGCCTGTCATAAATGGATGGACCCCCTTAATTAATTGAATGTGTGTGGCTTGTAATAAATGGATGGACCCCCTTATTTAATTGAATGTGTGTGGCTTGTAATAAATGGATAGACCCCCTTAATTATTTGAATGTGTGTGGCTTGTAATAAAAGGATGGACCCCCTTAATTAATTAAATGCATATGGCCTGTCATAAATGGATAGACTTCCTCAATTAATGTTATAGTTGTGTGAAGCAACTAGACAGGCTCTGTCCATGCATGAATCTACATATTGGCTGGTTGAGCCATCACATATTGGCTGGTTGAGCCATCACATATTGGCTGGTTGAGCCATCACATATTGGCTGGTTGAGCCATCACATATTGGCTGGCTGAGCCATCACATATTGGCTGGCTGAGCCATCACATATTGGCTGGCTGAGCCATCACATATTGGCTGGTTGAGCCATCACATATTGGCTGGTTGAGCCATCACATGCTACGGTTTTCCCGTATAGCTATTGTTGTCTGTGGATGTGGTAGGACTTTTTTTTTAGGTATCAACATCTAATGTCTGATATTGTTACTAAACAGAAAGCAGGTGGCTCAGTCAGATACAACATTGAGCAGGGACAACGAAGAGTTTATTAATTTACAATAATGCGGGGAAAAAAAGTTATTTGACCATAACTTACTTTTTCAGTAGCAGCTGAAGCAAATTTGGTTGCACTTAATGCAAAAGTCGACCAGCCCTGCAGACAAATGATGTAATTTAGTGTCTGAGTGCATCAAAGTTTTGTCTATTGGCTACTTGATAGGATGTTAAAATAAATTCAGTTTACAGGTCCACATTTAAAGTGTTAGTTATCCAAAATAAACAATTCTTCCAAACAAATTACATGCTGCAAAAATATGGACACAATCAAAACTTTTGCTGACAGCACGACATTTTTACTTTCCCTACTGCATTCACAAGATTTTTTCAACCACTTTTTTAATCGATATTTTAAATATTCACATAGATAAAAAAAAATTAAACCTTAAGCAAAATTGAGAAAAATAGTCATAATTATTAAGTTAGAGTCCAAAAATAGCTTAACGGTTTAGAAAAAAATCAAGAAAAGGCAACAAAAAAGTTAACAAAAAATCAATAAAATTTCAAACAGTCACTTAAAAAAATGGTAAAAAATACTTACAGATGATAGTGAAGAGAGTGTGTTATCAAAGAAGTCATCTTTTTTATTATCTACTAGAGGCGTGTTTCCAAAGCCAGTATACCTCCCACCTTGACTTGGAGGTAAGTGCCTAAAAATATGCATAGCTAAAATAATGATTTTTCAAGATGTAAATATTAATAACTTTACATTCCGTGCAAACACACAACTTTCAAGCCGTAAATATCGACTTTTTACAATCCATGCAAACACACAACTTTCAAGCCGTAAATATCGACTTTTTACAATCCGTGCAAACACACAACTTTCAAGCCGTAAATATCGACTTTTTACAATCCGTGCAAACACACAACTTTCAAGCCGTAAATATCGACTTTTTACAATCCGTGCAAACACACAACTTTCAAGCCGTAAATATCAACTTTTTACAATCCGTGCAAACACACAACTTTCAAGCCGTAAATATCGACTTTTTACAATCCGTGCAAACACACAACTTTCAAGCCGTAAATATCGACTTTTTACAATCCGTGCAAACACACAACTTTCAAGCCGTAAATATCGACTTTTTACAATCCGTGCAAACACACAACTTTCAAGACATAAATATCGACTTTTTACAATCCGTGCAAACACACAACTTTCAAGACATAAATATCAACTTTTTACAATCCGTGCAAACACACAACTTTCAAGCCGTAAATATCGACTTTTTACAATCCGTGCAAACACACAACTTTCAAGACATAAATATCGACTTTTTACAATCCGTGCAAACACACAACTTTCAAGACATAAATATCGACTTTTTACAATCCGTGCAAACACATAACTTTCAAGACATAAATATCGACTTTTTACAATCCGTGCAAACACACAACTTTCAAGCCGTAAATATCGACTTTTTACAATCCGTGCAAACACACAACTTTCAAGACATAAATATCGACTTTTTACAATCCATGCAAACACACAACTTTCAAGACATAAATATCGACTTTTTACAATTCGTGCAAACACACAACTTTCAAGACATAAATATCGACTTTTTACAATTCGTGCAAACACACAACTTTCAAGACATAAATATCGACTTTTTACAATCCGTGCAAACACTTACTCAGGGCGACCAGCATTTTCTTGCTGCACTCTGTTGAAGTAGTCATCCTTTTGTCTTTTTATATAATCTCTAAAATCAGAGAAACAAGCAGAGGTAAACAAAATTTATTTATAAATGAGATAACATATAAAGGTAAACCAAAGTTCCTGACAAAGCCCTGCCCCCTCATAAATTAAACTGTACAATTTTAAATTAAGACCCCAGATTTAGCTAAAAACTGAGCATACCATACTCATGTACTAGACAATATTATAAGTAAGTAAGCAATAAGCTGTTGTATCAACATCTTGATAGCTAGTGTTATATGCCCCCCTTCCCCAAAGTTCCATGAGCGTAACTTACCCATTATGTGTATCTACATCTTGATAGCCAGTGTTGTATGCCCCCCTTCCCCAAAGTTCCATGAGCGTAACTTACCCATTATGTGTATCTACATCTTGATAGCCAGTGTTGTATGCCCCCCTTCCCCAAAGTTCCATGAGCGTAACTTACCCATTATGTGTATCTACATCTTGATAGCCAGTGTTGTATGCCCCCCTTCCCCAAAGTTCCATGAGCGTAACTTACCCATTATGTGTATCTACATCTTGATAGCCAGTGTTGTATGCCCCCCTTCCCCAAAGTTCCATGAGCGCAACTTACCCATTATGTGTATCTACATCTTGATAGCCAGTGTTGTACATTCCCCCCAGATCCCCTGTGCTGCTACTGTTATGAAAGGATCCACCATCACGATATGAGTTAGATGACAACCTAGGGGTTGATGCTGATGTAGAGAGACGGGACGGTTGGAATGCAACATAATTTTTAGCTGATGAAGTCTCTATACTCCATGGTTTTCCTTCTGCTACGGTAGCCACCTGTGGTAACACACAAAACATGATGATTGTTCAGCTACATTTAAAAGAAAAGGAATGCTTTAAAACATTAAAATAACATGATCTCTTAAAGCAGTCACACAGATGGTCAAATGTTGAGATGTGGCTATTCAGCAGCATATTGGTTCTCAATAGCAAGACTTAGTGGTACTTCCATCACTAAAAGATAAAAGAACAGTACAGTGTGTGTACTCCAGGATATACTGAGGAAATCTTTTATGCTTGATCATCAATAACTTCTTCTAAGCTAATATACTATATATGAAATACCTTATCTCTTAAAAGCGCTGCAGCTTTTGTATTGTATTTTTCCTGCAAACTCATTCCTTCTCTATAGTCAGGTTGTGATGAAAAAAAATCTTTACACATTTTGTTCCCACCAGCTTTCATTTTTTCTAACTCTGAATCTTTCCATTTGTCCATGGACACAGACCGAACAAAGCTGGAAAACAGGAAATTTTAAGTCTTTTATTTCAGGTTACTATAATTTATTAACTACCAAGTTGAAATAAATTAACTAAAAAAACAACAACAGCGTATTATTTTTTTTAGTAAAGTCTCTTTTCAAAAGGAAATCCTAATTACATCCTAGGCTCTATAATACTATTGCATGTGAATTCTTTTAAAGTACTACATAAGACAGTAAACTGTATATAAGATGTCTTACATCATATAACTAGCAATAAACATAACAGATCCAATTAATTATTTTTTTTTACCTAAGGTGCACACCTAAACTGCGGTGTTTACCAGAGCACTCTAAACATATCCAGATCCCATATGTTACACTGACCCATTGTGGATTATGGGAACCACATTCAAAACAATTCTGTAAAAATAAATATAAAAAAGTTAGCCTATAAAAATTATAGAATAGTAAAGAATAGTTTAATATGTAATCTGTGATCCCCTTTTACTCAGACTTCAGTAACTAGGCCTACTACCTTGTAATACTAATAATTAGTGAGTAGGTATTTACTCATTTTATAAAATCCACTGAATTTCATGTCCACTTCAGTAACTAAATACTATGAGAATGATCAATACCTTTCCAAACACAGGGTACAGGGAGTTAAATGCCTAGAGTGCTAACCTTAGAGGGTGCCAAACAGTGTATAAAGAAAAAAAAATAGAAGTTCATTCTGAACGGCTTTATAGAATTATAGGCCCCTATAGAAAGTTGAAAAAAGGGACTGCAGCTTGGCATAAATGAATGTCTTGTTATTAAACTGTTTTTTTACTCAACTGTGTGACACCAAAATAGGGGAGAGGTGTGCTTTTCTCTTTTTTGCTCAAGTGAAAAACAATAAAAAATGGAGGGGTTGCAATACTTAATATTGATAGTTCGTCCCTGGTGCGGAAAAGGGTCGCTACGACGCTGGTTTTGACCTTAAATATGTAATAGAATCTAGACTATTTGTACTTTTATAGGCCTAAATTAAATCATAAATAGGGCCTATAGGCCTACTTGACATAGCCTAGAATTCAAGACAATCTGTCATTTCTTTTCTTTTGTAGTTAAATTAATATTTGATAGGAAAATTACAAATTTTGGTAATCTATCATTTTAGGTACGTAAAATCGCCCGCGGCTAGCCTTGTACGAAAAAGTTACCTCAAGGTCAAGGCTTTAATAGAAGTATATTGTGATATATTTGTATCAAATATTATAGATAAATGAATAATAAATGAATAATGGCTAAATATATCAATATTAGGCAAGAAATTAACTTTAAACAGCAGTGCTTGCTAGCAGGATTTGCTATATAAAAAGTGGCCATCTGTAAGTTAGAGTGGCTTCCCCTGAATCTTGCGCTATAAGTTTACAATATAAAAAAAATAAACAAGATGGTTGCTATTGTATGGTTGCATCTGTTGGAAACATTGCTAGTCTTTTTTTTATTATTGAAAAGTTTTAAAAATTAAATTGTTTAAAAACAGGTACATGAATGAAACAAGGAAACATTTTTGTATTTTAAAAAACATATACCCTCGTCAAAATGTGAAATAATTATTAAAATTTAAGGAGTCACCTGTTTTTCACATTACAAGTCGCGGACGATTTTACGTACCTAAAACGATAGATTACTAATATTTATATATTAAACATGGTACATCTAACAATAATCTAGCTAATCTAGCATAGACTTACATTGTTGCCTTCTTTTAATTTTAGATCCTTTAAAACACGTCTTGTTCTGGGACTTGCCATGATATCCTGACCTATCCTTAGTTAGTGTAAGTCCCTAAGTTAAGTGTAGGTAATAAAGACTCTCTCTCTATCTTAAGAATCGGTATGTGTACTGTAGCAGATAGATTCTACTACTAGATTCTAGATTACTTATTACTTGGACTTGGTGATAGGCCCCTAACATTAACTTTTAATTTAATTGAGTAGGCCTAATTAGTAATTGATATAGAAAAAGTATTGTTTGTATATCTAACTTGATCTTGATTCTACATCTGTTAACTATCATCGGGTCAATTATCACTTTTAACTAGACTAGATTCTGCTATTTATCTAGAATCTAGCTTCTACTGATCTAGATTCTAGAGCTACTCTCTTATGTGAAAATAAGAATTATGCTTGCTGAGTTGTCAACTCTATTTTCGACTACTTTTTACAACTTCCGGAACGACAATGCCAGATTTTCAGTTTCCGAGAAATTATATTTCTTTGATAGTACATTTTCTTTATGTTAACTAAACTAAGACCTAAGAAGTTCTATTTTTTTCCATATAGATCTAGATCTAGATTTCTAGAAGTCCTTTAAGAAAAGATCTAGGCAATATTGATTTGAATTACTTCAAATTCAGACCATCACAATTTTTGTAATTAAAATAAGTTGCATATAATATTTGTTTATTTGGGCTTATGCAGCCTATAATAAATGTATAATATTATTATGTAGGCCTATATATATATATATATATATATATATATATATATATATATATATATATATATATATATATATATATATATATATATATATATATATATATATATATATATATATATATATATATATATATATATATATATATATATACACTAGCCAAGCATAAGATAAATACTCAAAAACTGTTTCGAAGTATCCAATTAAGATATTTAAAATGTAATCTCAAATTACCTAAAGCTAAATCCTGGTTTATACAATATTTGATAACATTTTGAATGATGTAAAGTGTTGTTTTTCTTTCATACATTATATAATACGAGCTGACAGACGGCGTATCATATGCCGCTATATAGTTCTTTTATTTTCTACTTTTCAGTAATTCATAATTTGTGAATTCGACAGTACCAATACTGCCACTGAAAATATTTGCTTTAAAACACTATCAGTAGGTCGCTAAGGACAATACCCCCCCCCCCCCCCGTGAAAGTAAACTCCTCTTAGTTACCTCCCCTAAGTTTAAAATAGTTTCAAACTAAATTATCTGCCCCTAATAGCCGTCACTAAACCTTGCTCTACGATTGTAAACATTTAGCGTGAACCACAGCTCACCAGACCATGTAGGGGTGGGGGTGATAGGGAGCGCGCTTACAGCTTGGTGTTTTCTATCATCTCCAAGAAGAGAATTATAAATATAGATAGATAGCTACATTAGATTCTGTGAGAATGTAGGTTGGCACCAAAGGGGGTGTGGGGGCATAACATTCAGTCAGAGAGATGACAGATGTGGAGCATCATATGGAGTTGTATGCATGAGGTGGGACATTGGAGTTAGTCTGGTGAAAAATGGACATTGCATGGTATAGTGGGCAGTGAAAGAGGAGAACCTGCATTTTAGGTGCTCTCCTGAGGATTTTTTTTAAAAAGAGAATACTATTTATAAAATAGGCATTGTGTCTAAACCTTATGTACTATTACTACTAAGATTTCTAGAAAAATAACGAATATCAAGTTTTTGTGAGAAAAAAAAGTAAGTTATTTATAAAAAAGGAATTTCATATCTTCTCATAACTTAAGTAAATGACATGTATATGCAGCATATCTGGAGGATGTATATAGATGTCGATTCCAGTTGACTGAATTTAACACAAAATAGGTGTATAACTAACACATTTGACACAACTCATACTTACTTTATGCAATTTTTTTTATTAATAATACAAAAAGTAACAAATAGTAAACAAAAAAATAAATGTTCAAATGCTGATTTTTTTTAAAGAAAATAATTTAAAAATTGAAACCGATTAGCTTAAATATTTACGGTGCAAATTGTCTAACAATACATCAGACTAGGCCACTAGCAGTTAATATCTATATATTGTAAGCCTAAAAGTCTTTCATAATCCTTTTGTGTACCAATACATTTATGTTTCAAAATTCTGGCAAAATTAACCAAGCATCAAATAAATAAAAAGGCAATTTTTTTATTATCGAACATACAATGATACATTGTCAAAACTTGATATAAGTAAATTTTCCTAAAAATTTTAAAATCTTTACCATACTGAACTTTTAAATGTGCAATTGCTTGATTAAAATGAGTGGTGAAAAAGTTTTATAAAAGTTAAAAACTGTTTTAATGTGATTTAAAAACTATAAATAAAACTCCATCACCTATGCACAATAAATAACTGGCATTTAACATTAAGGCATTTAGAAAGGAGAGGTAATAAAAATAAAACTCCAGCTTCTTTGATTAATTCTTTAGGCAGTGATGCATTAAAAAAATTAGTAATGCAAGGTTTCAATAATAAATTACCCTGAAATTCTGGAATACATTTCTTTAACATAAGGTCACAAATGTTAAACAGCAATCAACAATAAACTTATACTCTTCTTATACTTATACTTAATTCTCTTCACTTAAATTTTAGAACAAAGAATGTACCTAGATGAAGAAAGCAATTTATAAAAACTTCTGCATTAGCAAATGCTGTTAATAAATATTTAACCTATCACAAATTTAAATCAAGTTTTTTATTTAAAAAAAATTCAATTATAGCTAAAATCACAATTTAGTATATCACATTTTTAATTAACATTATGTAAAATTGAGACAAAAGGTTTAACTTTATTTTGTGCTAAGCAAAATAGAAGTGTTGACTTAAGAACAATAGAACCTTGAAAAATGAAACAAGCATTTTTAGTTTCTTATAACATCAACACAATGCAGAAAAATATTCAAAAAAGCAGTTTTACCAATTGTATCACAGTATATTCATTTAAATTAATGATACTGATAGATGTAACATTATAGGTCATTAAAACTGGTATATAACAAGTTATGATGCAGTACCAACAGATAATAACAAGATTTTTTTTTGTCATTTAGCTCCAGAGAAACTTTATATTAACAAATTTAAGGCAGAAAAGGATAAAAATAAAAAGCACTTGAGCTCTTACTAGCCAAAAAAAAAGTTTATTATAGAATAGTAAATACTGGTATACATGTCAAAGATGTTTATAAATGGAAAATATTAATGCTTTATATATAAATTAATAAAGTAGTAATACTGCTAATACTAAAGTACTATTGTTATGGAGGATGCACTGAGGCAGACATTTTTTTATAAAAATATATTTGTATATCTTTAAGCTTAAAGTTAAGTATTTTTTAAAGTAACAAGCAATCTACAGATTGTGTAATGTATTAGCAACAGTGAAAGGTATATATGATTTATATATGTTGCATAACATTTTTCATTAAATATTTCATAATAAATATTTGATAATGGATCAATATTATCACAATAATGCCAAATTAAAAATTTTTTTTTTTTAAATACTGAGTATCTTAAATTTGGTTTAGATTTGATGGAAAAAAAAGGCAACATGATTTTTAACAAGCATGAAAAGTGTGTGAATTTTGCACACAGTTTTTTGAGGAAATTGAAAGTAAAGAATCAGTTTTTTCTGTCTTTAAAGTACTTTTTATGAAGTTGTTAAATGTTGATTTAAAATATTTACTGCTGAATTTTTCAAAACCACAATAAAAAATTACTACAGCTAGCTTTGAAAATAAATGTAATCACTGGATTAGACTGAAGAAAACCAATTTTAAAAAAGTTGAAAATAGCATAAATTAAAATACATATTCATCATATGTAGCAGACCACCGAGTAGCCAACATCCACACAGGTAGGTTTTGTTCCAGTGCAAACAATTCAGGTGTTACCTGTTTCGGAAAACATTTTGATTACTCATAATGGAATAGGTAAATGAGCAATCTAATTTAACAGTCATATATAACAATTTAAAACTATTATTTTAAAAATATTTGAGTAGCAATTCTTAAATAGAGTAATGATTACCTGAGATGGCCCATGAAGATGGTGCCCTGCAAAACCCATCCTTACAAGAGAGCTGTTCAGGGCGTGTCTGTTCCTAACCTGCAAAAATTAGTTGACTAAAATGTACAATTTTCAAAACAAAACTACCCACTACCAGTCAAAAGCATTCCAATGCAATGCAAGTCACCTCTAAATTTAAACTAAAAAAAAACAACACATTTTTGGAGAGTATTGAATAGAAAATTAGGTATTTAGAAAAACAGAATGCAGTACTGACCTGAAGATCAATGGAAAATTCCCAAGCTGTGTCAGGTGGACCAGCATGTGAGTAGTAAATAAAATAGGTGGAATGGTGGATGGTTGGAATAGTGTTGGCTTTCACAGGAATGTTATGTCCAAAGCTCCAGTGCATCATTCTTGCAGAAAGTAGCTCAGCAATAAATATCGTTACATGACTTGGACCTGGAAAAAATATTAAGTGGGAAGTTTGACAGTTTTACTTTGACAATTTTACTTTTGACTAGTTACCACTTCCTTATTTTTGGACAAATTTAAAATCAATTCATGATAGCAGTTAGATCAAATATTTTAAAGTTAAAAATAGTTCAAGCAACAGTGAATGTTAATTTTGAAAAATAATTACAAAATTGACTAATGCATAAAACATTAAAAAAATTAATTACTTTTAAAACGGCACATTGCGTAAATAAGTACTAAGATAATAATACCTGACATTTTAAAAGTAAGCCTGACTTCGCTGTTACTTTTTTGGACGCGCTCTATCAGTTTTACTGAAACTCTTGTCACATTCAAAGGTGAAGCAGGAAAATCAAATGTTTTTCTTGAGAGAATAAAGCAGATGAATTCTTTTTAAAACAACACAAAAAACCGAATCACTTAAAACACTAGTTTGTGGTCTGACAAAATTAACTAACCACCCACAAACACACGGTCACTACTTTGTGGTCTGACAAAATTAACTAACCACCCACAAACACACGGTCACTACTTTGTGGTCTGACAAAATTAACTAACCACCCACAAACACACGGTCACTAGTTTGTGGTCTGACAAAATTAACTAACCACCTACAAACACAAAGCCACTAGTTTGTGGTCTGTCAAAATGAACTAACCACCCTCAAACACACGGTCACTAGTTTGTGGTCTGACAAAATGAACTAACCCACCAACAAATACACAGTCACTAGTTAGTGGTCTGACAAAACTAACCCACCTACAACACAAGACTGGTCTGTAACACTAGTTAGTGGTCTGACAAAACTAACCCACCTACAACACAAGACTGGTTTGTAACACTAGTTAGTGGTCTGACAAAACTAACCCACCTACAACACAAGACTATTCTGTAACACTAGTTAGTGGTCTGACAAAACTAACCCACCTACAACACAAGACTGGTTTGTAACACTAGTTAGTGGTCTGACAAAATTAACCCACCTACAACACAAGACTGGTCTGTAACACTAGTTAGTGGTCTGACAAAACTAACCCACCTACAACACAAGACTGGTTTGTAACACTAGTTAGTGGTCTGACAAAACTAACCCACCTACAACACAAGACTGGTCTGTAACACTAGTTAGTGGTCTGACAAAACTAACCCACCTACAACACAAGACTGGTTTGTAACACTAGTTAGTGGTCTGACAAAACTAACCCACCTACAACACAAGACTGGTTTGTAACACTAGTTAGTGGTCTGACAAAATTAACCCACCTACAACACAAGACTGGTTTGTAACACTAGTTAGTGGTCTGACAAAACTAACCCACCTACAACACAAGACTGGTCTGTAACACTAGTTAGTGGTCTGACAAAACTAACCCACCTACAACACAAGACTGGTTTGTAACACTAGTTAGTGGTCTGACAAAACTAACCCACCTACAACACAAGACTGGTTTGTAACACTAGTTAGTGGTCTGACAAAACTAACCCACCTACAACACAAGACTGGTCTGTAACACTAGTTAGTGGTCTGAGAAAATTAACCCACCTACAACACAAGACTGGTTTGTAACACTAGTTAGTGGTCTGACAAAACTAACCCACCTACAACACAAGACTGGTCTGTAACACTAGTTAGTGGTCTGACAAAACTAACCCACCTACAACACAAGACTGGTTTGTAACACTAGTTAGTGGTCTGACAAAACTAACCCACCTACAACACAAGACTGGTCTGTAACACTAGTTAGTGGTCTGACAACACAAGACTGGTCTGTAACATACCGTGCATCAACATGGGGAAGGAATGGATAGAGATATGGCCTTCCACAGTAAACACCATCACAGGTGGCTTTCTTAGCATTCTCTAATATCCAAGGGGCGTACTGTTGTAGTGTTGTGCCTCCCTGGTAGTCTAATGGCTGGTACCAAATGTATGCATCTTTACTGATCACTCTATTGTTAGGACCATGAAACCTTCGATCAAAGTGCTGCAAGTGTAAAGGAAATTTTATTTTATGCAAGATTATTGAGTCACATTTTAGAATATAAGAGAATGTATGACAACAAAGGATACACACTGCTTATACAACAACATCAAGTGTATGCAGAAGTGTCAACGAACAACATGTAGCATGATGTGTAAATCACAAACAGCTGCTTACAACAAGCATGGCTCGCTGGACGGAAGCATCCAGTGGGTTAGAGGAGTAAGGAAAGCCTGCAGGTGTAAAGATGACAGCAGCCAGTCCCAGCAATATCACAGCTGTTGTTGTAGTGATCACGCGACCTACTCTGTTGTGTGTATACACAAAGCCAATCTGAAGAGAAGCAAAAACAATTTTTACACCGTGTAAAAACAATGGGGCATATTTTTTTTCAAAGTTAACAGAAATAGGTAAAATTATCCTTTAAAGCATACAATTTAAATCAAAACTTAAATTTGTTTATTCAAAATTTTTAAAAATTATATTCTAACTGATAGATCTATCAAGACACATTTGGCATTTTAAATATTGATTTTGTTCTATTATGTATAATATGTAGACCAATCTAAGCAATTAAAATGAAATTGAAAAAAAAAAACTTTTCTTTAGGAATATAATTAAAAATTGTACACTTTGATATTTTGGTGCTTTTGAACAACATTAAATGTTAGAAAATCTTCACCTGATAGGGCAAGCAGACCAACACAGGTAAGCCAGAAACACAAGCAATAAGAATATCCGGTGCTGTCTCCATGCCTGATCTCCCCATGATGGGGATGAGAAACATCAGTAGAGTGTAGATAAGATAAACAACATACACACTTGGAGCCAGTGATGCAAGCAGATTGAAAGCTAGTCCTAAAAAATAAAAATGTATAAGGCACATCTATATATATAATTCTCTTCTTGGAGACCATAGAAAACACCAAGCTGTAGGCGCGCTCCCTACCACCCCCACATGGTCTGGTGAGCTGTGGATCACGCTAAATGTTTACAATCGTAGAGCCAGGTTTAGTTACGGCTATTAGGGGCAGATAATGTAGTTTGAAACGATTTTAAACTTAGGGGAAGTAACTAAGAGGAGTTTGCTTTCACTGAAGGGTGTAGGGGTTGGGGAATGGGGGGGGGGTTATCGTCCTTAATGAGCAACTGATAGTGTTTTAAAGCAAATATTTTCAGTGGCAGTATTGGTACTGTCGAATTCACAAATTATGAATTACTGAGTGAAAAGTAGAAAATAAAACAACTAAATAGTGGCGTATGATACGCCGCGGGTCGGCTCGTACTATTTAATGAACTTCTACTGCTTTTTTTTAGTGCATGTCAATTATTAAGCATACTGTTTGGATTCTTTAGAACTGAATTCAAGTCTTCCAGGTTAGTAATCACCCACACATAAGCGTAATGTATTTTTAAAAAGCTACCCCGGGCAAAAAAACAAAACAAACACTTGTACACTGACCTGTGGGTTTAAACCCCAACATATTAAGCACAGTGTAAAAAAATGCTGGCCACAAAATACAAAGTAATGGAATGTAGGAGGACATTAGTCCATGTATGGTCATGAACATCAATATAAAGGACCACAAAATCAGGTTGGCTTCTTGCAGCATTGACACCATTACAGTGAGATCAGTATTCTGTAAACATAACAGAGAGATATTACACACTAAAAATATTAAATTTATGAAAAATATTGAGGTGGATGTAATTTCTGTGTTGAGTTATATCACAAGATTTAATATTTTTTCCAACACATGCAATTGCAACCTATTTTAAATGTGTATCAGGACATGTGTATCAATAATGATTTTGAAATGAATGTATTTTATTTACCTTAAACAGTGTTTTTTTCAAGATGGTGTGAAATGCCATAACTGCTGTGACAGATGGAAGAATGAAGAGCCAAACAATATTCAGGCTATTAGTGTAGTAGCTGAGGCTGCGCCCAATCCAAGTGAGGAAAAGTGCTACACCCACTGGAACCAATAAACTGATGACCCATGTGCCCAGCATAGCTAACACAGTTTGCAACATTGGCTTGATCATGCTTGTTGGACCTGAAATTTAAAAATTTGCTTGTATCAAATTGAAGACTACAGATTTGGATCATAGATAAAATTTTACTTACCAATAAGTAGTGAAAATAAAAATAAATTAGCTAAAAAAACTGCTCTCATCCATATAACAATGCCAAAAACAATAGTTACCAGAATATCTGTTTCTAAACATCCGTTTTAGAAAAGCAATATACACATAAACAAATGTTGTCCAGTTGAGAATATTAGCAAGACGTTGTGGATATGCCACGATGAAGAATCCAAGAACATCAAAAAATACCATGGAGCCATGTTTATCTTCACCAGGATTGCTTAATTTTGAACTGGTGGCCATAAGCTTTAATGTGGCTAAAACATTTTCACCTGAAAAAAAGATTAAAGAAATGGATGTGGGCTTTGTGATAGAAATAACATTCTTGAAGAAAAATGTTTTAATTTCATCAACCAAACATGAAGTCTTTTTGTTAGCAACTCATTAGCTTTAATAACACTTTTATCTAGCTTTAAAGGGCAAGGCAAACATTGAGGAGCTGCGGTCTTAATTCAAATCGAATTATACTGATTTGCTTTTAAATTTTAAGCATGTTCAAATTACTGCTTTAACAAATATTAAATTATATTCATTTATAAAATTCTGTAGGTGCAATCTCTTTTAAATAAAATATTTTCTCGCTATAGAGTGTGAATGGAAATTTGGAAGCTCAGTTAGGAAGTCTGTAAAGTGATACATTTAATAATGCATATGGGTTGACAAAGCTTTTAGTTATCCACTGAGTGTGGCATGTTAAGTTCCACCAGCATCATCTTGGTATAGAAACTCTGTATCTAGCACTTTGTTACATTTTATCATTGACAAGATCTGGAGCTATTCTCCCAGTCTCTTCAGCCACATCTAAGCTAAGCACTCTAGAAATAAATGATTTCTGCTCTAGTTATATTATTCACTTCATTCTACTGGGGCTGTGTATTTAAATTTTTATCATATTTTATTTTTCTGACGATTTTTCAGGCCTTCCAAATAAAAATCAGGTTGAAGCAATACCATGATTACATGTGTTGGTTAAAGAATGACTGGTAATAAGTCAAATATTCTGGGATTTGTAACTGTTAATCACATTGTTTTTAAAATATGGAAATTAATTACCGCTTCTTTGCATGGATCCTGCAGGAATATACATAGGTTGGTCATTTTTCGTGTGGTACACATAGCCATTCTTGATGTGGGCTATGTCAATGCCTGTTAAATTAAAAGTTTGCTTAAAATTAGATTACATCTTTAAGATATAAACATATTTAAATACATCCTAAAAGTATGATAAACTACATTTATAAAATATAAAAAATCTCTAAATGGCAAATATTTATTTTTCCAAAATTCAAATTCATAACACAAAATACTAATTTAAAGTAATGATTATTTATGAAAATATATATTAGATGAAAAAATAAATGTTAACTATACAAAACAACAGCAAGAAATAAATGCAAAAAAACTGCTCTTTAATGTCATTCAAGGCTCTTAAAAAAAAGGTTTCCTGAGTTACTTCCCTCAACCACTAAAGCAGCATTACATTACATTAAAGCAGAAGTACATTTGCTTGCTGGTCAAGATTATAGTAAAATTATTGTATATTGCTAGCATTTTTCTAATCCCCTTATAACATAAGTTTAGCAATACCTGGGATGTGACCATAATCCCTAAAAATTCTAAAATCTGTGTCAGATGGTACAAGACCGGTTTGAAAAATTTCTTGTCCAACCACAGATGCATGAGGATAAGGCGCAGAATCTATGTACGCCTTGATCAGCCAGGGATGTTCTGGGCCTAATAAAACACAGTAAAAACAGATTTAACAGTTAATATTCTGTAAGGTTTAAGTGTAATTAGAATAGTGAATTAGAACAAACCAGTCTGGAAGACTATTTCCCATCCTCCTGCTCCAGCTGAGTCCAAGTTAACAAAGGCTTTGACACTACCAGCCCAGCGATGTTGAGTGATAAAAGCATGACTTGTCTGAAATAATACAGGAAATCATGTTTTAAAGCAAAGCTAAGCTAATCCTTTTGAAATAAATTTTATTTTACCAAAGGATTAAAAAGAATAAATAGTCTGTAAAAAACCGTACACAAGTTTTCAATTAACTTAATGAAGTAGTATTTACTACAACAGGGAAAAGCAAAATAAGAAAAGAGTATATATATATATATATATATATATATATATATATATATATATATATATATATATATATATATATATGTATGTATGTATGTATGTATGTATGTATAGACAGACAGACAGACAGACAGACAGACAGACAGACAGACAGACAGACAGACAGACAGACAGACAGACAGACAGACAGACAGACAGACAGACAGACAGACAGACAGACAGACAGACAGACAGACAGACAGACAGACAGACAGACAGACAGACAGACAGACAGACAGACAGACAGACAGACAGACAGACAGACAGACATTTTAAGTAATAATAAATGTAATCATGGCAATTTTTCATTAACTGTTGGATATTTTTACAGCCAAACAGACAGATATATCTGACAGTATGCAACTCCCATTCACATCCAACTTGAGCTCTTATTTAAAGGCAGGCTGGACACCAACAAAAGATAGCAGTTATCTAGTACTTGTAGTTAGAAAGTCATCCCAATAGCACAGAGGCTCATGATAAAAGCCTTAAAGACTAATTGGTCCAGGGCTAATTTATTTAACTCTCAATATTATGCTGAAGTTTTAATTAATTATAATGTTATGAATAATTTGTAGGGAGTGAAGGTTTGTAAACTGCCCACATGCTTAACTAGGGGAGGGCGGGTGGGGCAGTTTCCCTATGGGCAACACCAGTTACATAAAAATAAAGAGTTAATTCTGAGCTGCAGGACTAAATTTACACAGTCAAAATTAGGAAAAATATCTTTATACAACAGTTTACAGACTAGTAAAAATTAAAGTTCCTTTTCAAACCTGAAGGTCTAAGGGGCAAGTGAAGTAAAGTTAACCTGTTTCTGTGACCTCAGCATTTGAAGGGATAGTGTGGTCAGCACTATGCCCAGCCACCTTTACTTTCCTTAACTTGAGTCAGGTACCCATCAGCGCTGGGATGTTCTATGGACTTTAACCAGGATTTGAACTCGAGATTTTTGGGTTAGCAGTCGTCGTATGCTCTACTGTTCGACTACGTGGTCCCATCTTTGAAGACCAATTTAACTGTTTTAAATTAAGCCTAATACAAAGTACTTACTTGCAAAATATTTTCTTCTGCACTATTGAAAAGAAAGATCACATTGTGCATTAGGGTAAAATCACTTTGAGATAATACTCTTAATATTTCCAACATAACACAGCAGCTGGCTGCATCATCTCCTGCACCTATAAAGATAGTTTTATACTACTATAGAGCTCAAATAAAATTAGCATAACTTATTTTTTAAATAGGTATGCCTTAATATCTTTTTAAAAATATGTAAATATACATCAAACAATATCAAGGATACTTATAAATATTTCTAAAAAATTTGAGTTCTGAAAAATGTTAATTCTAAATTCAGCATGTAGGTACTCTTCAATTATTTAATTAAATTCATTTTCATGTTAGTGTGCGCATAACTCAAACCGCCATACTCTAGAAAACACTTATAGAATAACTCTAACCTTGCAGGTTTAGAAATAGGCTGTTATTGCAGATACATATCTATATATATGTATGGGCTACAGAAAAACGTAACAAAAAGGAATAGCTTCAGACAATGAATATTTACCTGGACTATCAATCACACTATCATAATGACAGTTTACTAGAACACTGTTCTCAGACTGTTCAGGTGGTGACAACATCACTACAACATTTTTCAAATCTTGATACACACTTGTAAATTCCCCTACCCCAACATTGATAAAATCAAGTGTTAAACTTCCACTTGCACTCTGGACATCAATTTCCATTTTTATCTTTTGATTACGACCCTCATTCTCATTAAAAATTTGTTGAATATAGTTCAAAATGTAATTTTCTGCTTTAGAATTTGCAATGCTTCCTGAGACACGAGGACCAAACCCTGTTAACATCTCTAAATGACTTCTGGCATTTTGTTCCCTAAATTCATGAGGTCTTGAGTTTTCATTATTTTTTGGTACTGGGTAGGAGTTCATTCTTTGATGGACAAATATACTAATAAGGAGGTAAAATGTTCCTATCAACACATATGCGACAGCTGCCCTTGGGCGTGGAAAATTGGTTCTCTCACGAAGAGGACGTACATGTCTACCTGCATTAGGAAGTTGTTGAGGTTGAAGAGAATCAAAAGTATTATTGTCAGCATTGCGGAGAGAAGTGTTACTGTTAATAACAGCATCTTCTGAGTCAGGGCCTACTGTTTGACGTCGTCTTAGTGAATCTCCTATAAAATGCTGGTCTTGATCGGTATCCATTTTTTTAGATCGCTAATCTTAAATTTAAAATCAATGGGGGAAAAAACTAGATCTATACTAAGTAGTTTAGAACATGATAGTTAGATCTACATATCCAGTGGAGGATATAGATCTAGATTCTAGATACCATATCACTACTAGCTCTACTATAGAGTCTATACTGCATACAGACCACTCCACAAGCAGAGGTATAGAATTTGTATTTTGATGATGGGCCTATAGAATCTAGTACGTGTTATGTTTTGCCCTTATGAAGTTGCCGGCGGTGATTACTAACTATAGACGTCATTTTTTTTCCCCCACGACTAGATTTATAAACAATGCATTCCATAAATAGATAAAGATTTAGTATAGTCAGTTGTATGCTGGTCTACAGGCATATTGTTATATTAAGTTGGCAATTTCCTCATCTCCCCGGAGGGGGGGTGGGGAGGAACTGCAGTGTCTCCCAGAGCAATTCCACCGAAAACATAATAATATGGGCTATTTTAATTAGTGCCCCCCCCCTGGAATTTCAGTTGCCCTCCCCCCACCCAGCAAAATGAAAGAAACCCTGACCCGATCCACCCACCCTTTTTCCTTATTACCTCTCTAAAAATAATTTATGTTCACATTAATGGCAACAATCGATTTAAAACATTTGTAAATATGCCCTGTACAAAAGTATCTTTTATTAATATGCCGTTTAGTTCAGGGAATATGTCGGGTTTTTTATTTTATTTTTACAATTCAAAATTTGAAGCCTTTTAAATACTTTTGCCATTTTAGGCACATGAAAGTAAGTAGCAAACAGCAAAAGACGTTTGAAAACAATTTTAGTTATCATGCAAAAATGAAACAAAAAATCCGCCATTTTTAATTTTTCGGAATTTTTAAAAACACTAATAGTTTAATTAATTTATGCACTTATAGCAATAAAATTTAAACTGCTTATAGTTCAGTATATATTATCACTTTCATGACAACATTTTAATCATTTTAATAAATGTACTGGTGAGACTAGGTCTGGAAATTGCCCTCTTCTTAGTATTCGAACATTTTTTTAAAATTTGCATTTCTTTTTAACCATAAACCAGTTCCAGTGTGACAAAAGTTTTACTCTTACAGAAAGAACAAATACGGAAAATATGGTGGGAATTGTATTGTTAATATAAAAGTATTAGGCTTCTTGGTGCTAAAATCTGTGAAATGAGAAAAATAGCAACAATTATCAAAAAGTAGGTTACAAAATACCATTTTAGTGTAATCTGTACAGCCGATTGAAGAAAGGTTTTGGGTGTTTCCGAGGTGACGGAAAATACGTTTAACAAATAGGCTTACATGAGAAATCCAGTTTTCTAATGATGCCAAAGACAAAATGAAGACGGATATCGAACTTTTCATAGAGAACATGTAAGATGCTTTTTAAATTAATAGGGTCATAAACACTTTATTTTAAACACACTAAAAATTTGTTTTTTTTTTCTAAAAAGTTCTTATTATCTTAATTAAAAAATTGTTAAAGAATCTACAAGTTCAAGAACACCATTATGACGAAAAATCAGGAAGCTGAGCATATATCGAGAAATTCTAAGACTCTGAAAGTATTGAAGAAAAGTGCAGGTAAATCTCATACTACTGTGGCTTTAATTATATCATAAAATAAAGTTTGTTGACTTTTCGGGGGTAATGATGCTACATAATGTAGGCCTCCAAATAGTGACCAAAGATTTAACTTGTTAGAGTAGTCCTTATAATGCCTTATATTATGTGTGGCTTTTGATCAAACAGAGTCACTGCGTTTAAAAGTGACAAATTCGTAATGGTTTATTGGTATTTTTAAACACAATTAAGAAGCAACATAGGCCTACGAATCGGAACCTATAGGCCCTTTTAAGTGCGGGTTCGTGTTATAAATTAAAGGCTGATACAAAGGGCTTTTTAGTTTATATCGATCTAGAGAATTATTTACCGGATGAGATTTGTAAAGTTACCTATAGTCAGATCGGCTCAGAGCTTATATGCCAGATATGGTTTGTCATAAGGTTGTGTTCTAAACTGGCATTTAAAATATAAATATACATATAAGACATATTTTTATCATCAAATTGATACCACTACTACAACTTATGCATATGTATATTTTTTAATATACCTTATTAGAAACAAGAGAACATAAATTATTAACCATAAGATTTCTTTCACTGTACTTGTCCAAACAAGCAATATAGTTAGTTAGACAAATAACATAAGCATATTATATCATTATATTACTTTATATAGCTTTAAAATAAAATAAAAATTGAACTTTCCAGAAAAAAACATTTTAATTGCTTGGATTATATATTACAATATGAACATGGCCTAATAATTTCTATACAGATGCTGTGTGGTAGTAAAATTGATTTGGCATGCATTTTTCTTACAACCTGGGCTGCAAGCACTAAAAAAAAAGGTAGTCCATAATTCCTGTCTTAAAACAACCCTCGGCCAAAGACATTTCTGCTTTGCTGACACATAATTTATTAAATTTTACATTGCCGATGTCTTCAAAGGAACGATTTAAACCAAATGAAGGGGACTGGATCTGCCCCGATACCAAGTATAAATTCATTGTCAATTAATTTTTATTTTTTTTCTAGCTATTTTTGGATTTGGCTCACCTTACTCCTGATTACTTACCATATCTCAGTCCAATACTCAATCAGATTCCGACCCCCGAGTGTCTACACAATTTTGTTTGTATACTACTTCTACTGTATAGGATGTCAGATGTCATGATAGATAAGCGGGCTATGTAAATCCACAATTTGGGAATCTTCTTTTAAAATTTAAGGGTGTTAGATTACTGCTGTGGTAGTTAACTAAAAACACAAACATGACTAATTGTCGTAATTGACTTGCTGTCTGTACTAACACTACCACAAGCCATATAATTTATTAGGCCCTAAGTAATATTAAGAATTATTAAGCAAGTCCTACCCTAGCCCTAATTTAGTAATTTCTGATCATAGCACTAAGTCTAAAGCTGAGATTAGTGGTCATCCATTTATGATGTCCAAAAACTTTTTAGGCAAATTCTAGCAGGAAAAAGATTAGGCCTATGTTTTGCATCTTCTGTCTACCAGCCTAGGGCTGAGGTGGTGAAGCTTCTTCAGAGTAGTCAATTCAAAATCTTAAACCCTTCCACTTTTTATATCACTCACCCCCCCCCCCTCCCCACACACACACTAAGATGTGGGCATGCTTAAAAATTTAGACCTCAAAATGTGTACGCCTACGTTTTCTGTAGGCACCTACCTATTAGTTTCTAACTAATAAACAGATATATTTTCAGTAGGCCTATCTAATCTGTTTATTTTTAGGCCTAAAAAATTAAAATTAGAAAACTATAGGCCTAATAAATGTCGGAGTAAAGATTTTGTTTTTGAGAGATTTTTCCCATTACTAACCAAAAACTCCTGTAAAGTAGGCCTATTAAACACCCTGACCCCTATCCATGTGGTCATCATAAATTGATGAACCCTTATGATTCTATCAACAATCTAGACTCTAGACCTAACTTAATATTTTCAGAAATCATCTGACATCAGTATTACCATTACTTCATCATAGCATAGAAAATATTTACTATGATGCTTCATCTAACAAAAATTATTTTAAATTTTTTTTAGATGTGGCAATGTTAATTTTGCACGACGACCTGAATGCAACAAATGTGGGAAAAGTAAGTAAAAATATCTGTTTATTATTTAGTTAAGAAGGTCTAGCAGTAGCAGAATGGAGATCAAATAGTAAATTAAAAAAAAATTCCAAATGAATTTAAATATGTTGCCACTATAATACTATTATTATATTATGGCTTAATTAAATTCTGTTTACTCTGTTGGTGTTCACAGCTATTACTAAAACATGTTGTGATTTAGTGTTATTGAAATCTTTTATTTTTGTGTTAAAGATCGTAAAGAAGGGACTGTTTTTAAAAAAGGTGGGACAGAAATAGGCAAGCAGTTAGCAGAGAAAAGTAAAGGGCTATTTAGTGCAGAGGATTGGCAGTGTAAAAGGTAATAATATAACATACAATTGATTCAGTTTTAATTCAAATATGAATGCAATGTGTGTGGCATAGAGATACACTTATCATTTCAGCTGTGGAAATGTGAACTGGGCCAGACGTATGACATGTAACATGTGTAATGCTCCTAAGTATGGCAGAGTTGAGCAACGTACAGGCTTTGGGGGAGGTTACATGGAAAGAGATGAGGTGATAGAATACAACAGGAGAGAAGAATCGGATGATGAGTATGATGAGGTACCTAGTGCAGCTTAGGACTAAGATAAATATCAAACGAATGGCAATTGTAAAATTAAATTATATAATAGATATTATATATATATTAATATATATATATATTTATATATAGAGTTGACAATTGAAAAATACAATTGGCATTTTGTTTTAAAATTCAAAAGTTTGGTCGGAAAAAGAAGAAATTTAGAGGAATGAGAAATAGCACGGAAGAAGCAAGTAATGGTAGTAAACAGCCAGAGGACAAAATTCAAGATGAGGGTGATGAAGAGGAGGAAGATGATGAAGACGGTGATATTTCTAAGTACAAGCTTGATTCAGACGAGGTTTTAATTTTTTTTTTAAATTCTAAACTTACTCATAAGTTTTAGGCTTATTATATATATATATTTTTTTTTTAGCAATTGCTACAGTTAAAATAATATTGTAATGTAGAATAGTTTTAAAACCTTTTTGAATTGTTTTGCAGGAGGAAGATGATGGTGATGTTTCAAAGTATAAGCTGGACAGTGATGGAGAAGATGATGAAAAGAAAGACTCAGACTCATCACATAAAAATTCATCCAGTTCAAGTTCATCTAGCTCTAGTTCCAGCTCCCGGTCTAAGTCTTTGTCCAGGTCTCCCAAGTCTCGGTCCAGGTCTGACTCGCCAGAATCAAGATCGCGCTCACACTCTGGAAGTAGAAAACTATCTCATTCACGCAGTCGAAAGCGATCTCGTTCCAGCAGTAGAAAACGCTCTCGATCTGGCAGCAGAAAGCGCAGATCACGATCTAGGTCCAGGTAAAACCAGGGTGTAACAACTCTAGGTAAACCCTACAAGGTCAATATCAGTTTTCATAATTCTGTTGTTCTGTATTGACAGGTTGGCGTACTCTGTGTGCTTGTTACTTTGGTGTAAACCATATGTTTTAATCATTTGATTTCAGTGCAGCTAGTTGTTCTAGCTCTGTTGCTAGAGCTTTGTTTTTCTTGTTCACATTTTTTGATTGGATATGAATTTTGCAATGCCAGATGATGTGCCAGTGCTTTAATCCTCTCAAAGGATTTAATACTTTGAAACCCAGAGTACTAGTGGGGATGTTTGTAAAAGTTCATTGGGCTTTTTTTTTAAGTCTGACATTCAGTAAATTTAATAATTTTTAAGAAAATGTTTAAATATACATTTTGGAAATGATTATATACTTAATTTAAAAAGTTCTATTTCTTAACTGTAAAATTACTGTTCACATTTGAATCACTAGAATGTAGCGCAGTTTCAAAGTATAAAGTTAGATTGAGAAGTAAATGATCTTCTTCTGTGCCATACAGTTTCAAACCTGATGATTATTCCTAGTTTTAAAGCATTTGTGCAACCCAATTTACTTTTTTTTAACATCAGGTCTGGAGATAAGGACATAAAGAAAGGACATCAAGACCATTCAAGCTCTTCTGGTTCCAGGTCGAGGTCCCGCTCTCCTCATTCTGGCTCGAAACGGTCGAGGTTTGATTTTGGGCTGAGTGACATATGTCATCAGGCTTTTATGTTGTGTTTTGTTTAACTTTTTTTTGACAACACTGGAAGTAAACTATTCCCCACAGCTGTATGTTTCTAGGATTTGAATAAACCATCATTTTATATCATTTAGTTGTTTTTTTTAATACATTTTTTAAAAAGTTTATCTGTGAAGGACTCACATCAAAACAAAATACATACGCTTGGGGAATTTTTTATTTTTTTATTTATTTTATAGTTAAAATGTATGTTGTTGATTTTGTTAACTTTTAATTTTTACATTTTTTTAACAGGCGTTAAAGACTGAGTAAAGTATAATTGAGCTGCAGGATTGATTTGAGTAAAGTACGTTCAGCTGCAGGATTTGACTGCCACCACGATTCTCCCTTGTGAGCTAAATATTTTGTAAGATTATTATAACTTTTATTAGCCTGCAATCTATGTTGTAATGTTCTAATTGATCATGGTCCTTGTAATCTGTCATTAATACATTGCTGTCATCCTTTCCATTTCCTTGCTAATGCAATAAACAAAAATTAAAAGAAAGGATGATACCCTATCATGAAACATGATGTGTAGACTACTTGGAGAAATTTGTATCTTATTAAATGATAGAATATTTGCTTCTCATGGTGTAATTAGGAGGAAAATACTGCAGTATTATTTTTCGGTTAGAATCTATGATGAAATGCCATGCTGTTTTAAGTGCGGTACAAACTGGGTCTCTACAAGAAAAGCTAGGTTAGGGAGTTAGTTTGATGAATGAATGCCTGTTCTAAAGCTTGTACTGTGGTGTATCTGGTGTAAATATCAACTGCTAGTCTTCCATGGTGAAAAGGATGTTTTTTTCTCAACCCAAGCTAACATTCATTATAGTACCAAATCTTATATCATCTAGTTCAACATACCGGATTTTTAATAGATTGTAAGTGTAGACTAGTTTTAAACTACTAATCTCAGGTAGGATGATTTTGTCGCTGTTTTAACAACTTTATATCGGTTTACCCTTGAATTTGGTGGTATTTGGGTGAATACAGAAAACTGGTTGTTTTACTTTGTAATGACATGTTTAAAAATATTGAAATATTTTTACATTTAGATATGTGAATAATGTACAGTTATGTGAATGACAAAAATTCATGTGGAAATCTGTGAACTGTGTCAGCTGAGTTTTGCTACGAGCTTTAAATAACTGACCATTGATTGTAGCTTTTATGTCCTAGTGGTTTTTGTTGTTACTACTTCAACAATAAATGTTTACTGAATACTTGTCTGCTATTTTAACATCTTTTGTGTTTCTCATGTTGGTTCTATATGACACAATGTGGCAGTGACTAATGGCAGAATTAAGAACTGAATACAGTTCCGGTAGTTGATCAAAGATAGCGGACACTCAGACACTCACTACCAGTTACTCAGTTGTTTCTCACTGCTACATGAGTGGCACAGACGTTCAAACTGCCTTCTTGCATGACTCCCTAATTCAAACTGAACATTTGGATACAAGATTTTATTTACCATTTTGAGTTCACTTTCCTAATTAATATACTGGAACTAAAAATAAAATGAACAGCATCTTCGCTGTAGATTAAAACAAAGGAGTTAATGAGTGCCTGTGGATGAAAAAAAATTTTTCTAGAGAATTTTCCTAGTGTAGTATTGTGCCAAAGTAATAAAATACATGTATACGCTATAAATGAAAGATAGTCAATTTAACATGAGCGTTGATGAGATTTGTAGCAGTGAAGTGGTTCTGGTGGATCATCTGTTACATCAATATAAATCACATAAAATGTACAGTTTTGATACACCGGAGGTCAAACTGCTGCAAGTCAGGAACACGTGAACAATATTTAATCCTGTATCAAAGGAGAATGACAAATTTGGTTTTGAGGGTAAGGTAAGCGCTGTGAGGTCATATGTTCAAATCAACTACTGGAATTAAAAAAACAAACATTTTACATGAACGCGAAATATAAATAACATAGTTCATGCTGTTGTATCTGCTTAAAATAATACATGTACACCTATACATAATATATAAAAGTATAGTATTTCATTAAGTAAAAAAAAATTCCGAACAGCAGTTTCTTTCACCGTCAGATCATGTCTAACTAAAGAAACAATTGCACTGTGTGCTTTGGTCGTGAGTGATCTCTGTAAACTTTTCTCAAGGCATCAAAGATCTTGTATCACGGGGCAGGTGACGGCAAAAGTCTGAAATGATGTCAAGCCAAATCAGAGACTGGTCTAACTTGACCAGTACGTTTCAAAAGCCCTCCACTTAGAAAAAAATGTCCCACCCTAAGAAGCCCCTAAATTGACTGGCTTATAACCGATCTTTGTTTTTATAATTTCAAAATGCCATGGGGTGATCTTACAAAGTATTTAAGGGGAATTTAGGTGGTGTTTCTACTTTGTAAACATTCTTAGGCCAGGGTAGGAAGAGAAGCAATCTGCCAAACATTCCCGCCACAGCACAGCGGCAAGCAGACCTCGCAGATGTAAGAAAGGATAGGTTATGCGCTGGTTATTTCAAGTAGACTATATCGAACATTGGCCAAAGTTCTGGGTGAAATGACTGGCCAATTCAGGAACTGGCTAAACTTTGAGCTTTGTTGTGTGTAGGCTGTTGTGTAAAACCTTAATTAAACATGGGTTACAAACCTAAAAAGGAAGTTGAAAAAAATACGTTAAGTTCAATATTTACAGTTGAAAAGAAAAAATGTACAACGGATTGTAAATACAAGGAAAGTTCAAAGTTCCAGATTTTATGGATGAGGAAGGAGACGAATATTTAATATAAACTAACCTCGGCACTCGGCAAATGATTTTACAGTACACAACAACTGTGCAAACAAATATCAAATTAATTTTTTCACATGGATATAAATGTATAAAAATAGAAAATTGTTATTTTATTATGTACCGCATTTCTAACAATAAAACATGAGCTAAATATAACAACGATTTAAACACAACTTTTTCTCTAGGCCTACAATAGGACTACGAGGCCCAAACTAAGGTGGGTGAACCCCGCATATCCCACAAATGCGAATATCGAGTCTAAATGCACTCACTGGATCAATAAAACAGCAATTATTTCATGAATACTTGTACACTGGATTAGCTGAACAGAACATCACTATATTTAACGACATACTTGACTTGTCACTATGATTATAAAACTAACGCACACAACTATTGGTAAACATGACTGTGCACTCTAAGGAAGCTTCAGTATCGATATCATGAGGATAATAAGCGGTTTCACTTGCCAGGTTGGATTTGGTAGCATGTAAATAACGATTACTTTCTTTTGATATTTTATGCATACATTGTAATTTACATAAATGAAATGAAAATAAAACAAGTTTTTTTTCTAGATATAAAACGCAAAGTATAAATAGAAAACATGGCCGACTTTGGAATATTTTCCATCCTCCTACATAGATGTGCATGTAGTTTTTTTTTTCAAATGAAATTAATATTAAATATCACAACCTTTGAAGTTCCTGATCCCCCCCCCACACACACACACTTTATGCTCCCTTTTTAATATGTATTTTTTAAGTGCCTTTAATACTTAAAGTATATTAAGTATATATATATATATATATATATATATATATATATATATATATATATATATATATATATATATATATATATATATATATATATATATATATACTTACATACACATACATATATATTAAAACATTAATGCCATTGCCGTAGTTGTATGGCTTATGTGTACATACAAAAATATGGGCACTCACCTCTACAAGTACTTTTTTAAAATAAGTTAAAAACATTGCACATTTACAACTAAAGTTTTTAAAAACAAAGTTCAAGACAATGTGCCAAATGTACAGAAATGCAATACAGTCGTATATACATAGAAACGTTTTTTTGTTCACAATCAGGTCACCGCTCAACACATCAAGAGATAAGTATCAATCGCCATCGCTAAAACCTCACAAGTAACATTATCAAGATTTTAGTGTATGGGAACGGCGCCAAGCTTGCTTGTAGTATTATTAATCCAAACTTAAAACATATATCTGAGGCATTATAAAACTTTAAACACAGTACATGTAGTTATGTAATTTAGGCATTCTGTAGAATAAAAAAATAGCAACACACACACACACACACACACACAGAGGCGTAGCGACCCTTCCCGGCGCCCGGGGACAAACTTTTCGATTTGCACCCCCCCTCAAGATTTTGATTTGCACCCCCCCCTCAAACTTTCGATTTACACCCCCCCTCGAGATTTTGATTTGCAACCCCCCCCCTCAACTTTTCAATTTATTTTTCCAACCCATTTTGGCGCCCCCTAAGCTCGGCGCCCGGGGACATATGTCCCCCTCCCGCCCCCCCCTCGCTACGCTACTGCATATATATATATATATATATATATATATATATATATATATATATATATATATATATATATATATATATATATATATATATATATATATACACAATGTCATGAAGTCGTCTCTACCTCAGAAATATTACTCTTCAACCCTGGTAGCACAGGCGAGAATCATTTGGTGATTTCTACAACAGGAAGTTCCTAATACTGACAGTACCGGACAACACCACTAAATATTGGAGTTCTAATACTGACAGTACCGGACAACACCACTAAGTATTGGAGTTCTAATACTGACAGTACCGGACAACACCACTAAATATTGGAGTTCTAATACTGACAGTACCGGACTACACCACTAAATATTGTAGTTCTAATACTGACAGTACCGGACAACACCACTAAATATTGGAGTTCTAATACTGACAGTACCGGACAACACCACTAAATATTGGAGTTCTAATACTGACAGTACCGGACAACACCACTAAATATTGGAGTTCTAATACTGACAGTACTGGACAACACCACTAAATATTGGAGTTCTAATACTGACAGTACTGGACAACACCACTAAATATTGGAGTTCTAATACTGACAGTACCGGACAACAGCATTAAATATTGAAGTTCTAATATTGACAGTACCGGACAACACCACTAAATATTGGAGTTCTAATACTGACCGAGCCAGGATTTCTAGAAAAATATTTTTTAAAGTGACATTGAAGTATGGAATATTTTATGTTGCTATTTTAAGCATTTTAGAAACAATATGTTGTGAAGTAGTTAATGTATGTTTGACAAAACAATTTTGACATAACTATCTTGGTTAAAAAACTGATTTGTGAAGTCAAGTAGAGATGGGGGAGTATTGAACAAAAGCACACAGCGGCCTAGATGTTGAATATTAAACACGGACGAATCCAATGGTAAGTGGGCTGGGTAACATCACACAGCTTACACATACATTGTACATCTCGCCTTCTGTCTGCCAAGCCCTAAATCTGTACACGCCATCTTTCCCATCATTCTTCTAAACTCTTAAATAAATAATTATCTCGATTTTTATACATGAAATGGTTATCTCACTAAATGTGACTTCTTGTTCAAGAGCTTGCCGACTTGCGGATTTGCCAGGTTGACGAAAGTTAATGTTGGCCGTGGTTACCAGGTTGGCTTAATGGAGCCTAATGCTTGTCAGTTTTTGACCAACAAACTGTACACAGTCGCGCAGCACCGGCGACTTTTGTAATAACATCAACATATGAAATGACGTCAATCGGTTATGGAATGCCATTCAAGGGTATCAGGAGCACCGTGTTTGCTGTCAACTTTGTACAGATGCCATTGTGTCAAGTATGGGATGTCAAGTTCTATACATTGACCACAACAAGTGGACACACGGCCCGTCACTATAAAATGGGCTGACCACTGCTGACACTGCTTTGTCGTATCAACGTCTTCACCTGTCTCCGTACCTGGCAGTAGCAAACGGACAACAACACCGTCAAAATAGACAGCCCTATACACGCCGCTATGAGGATCCAGCTGCCTGATATATGGCTACCGATATAAGGGGAGGATCTCTTCATCAAATCGAGGCTGATGTTCGTCTGCTTGAAAATTTTCGCTTCCGCCTCTTTCAGTAAATGGACGTCTTTTCGCAACTGGTTTAGATACAGGTTGGGAACATGGCGATTCCAGAATTCCATTTTTTCCGTTTTGAACGACATCTTGGACCGCATGTGAACGTGGTGGTCTTTAGACGTGATCTGCGTGTACACCGGTGACGCCTTAGTGTACGGTGTCATGTGAAAATGTTCCTGTGGTACTAAAGATGGCAGCCTGTCAAATAAACAAAACAAATCCGTTTATTTAGAAAAGGACACAAATTTAAAAAGAAAGTTTATAACTATGAGTACAACACTTGTATGTTTACACAATCAGCAGAAGTATAAAAATGTATGGGCTAATCTACACCAATACGATCCCTTGATTTCATGACGTCATTACAGATTTTTTTTTGTACGGACTAGACATCTTCTACATACGGGAGATTATAGTATAGCTGTAACTGTTAACCTTTTATTGATTTTACAATGACATTAAACTATATATAAATTCTGCATAAATTAAATATAAATGCTTGCACATATTCAGACTGGGATAAATGAATTTTAAACAATTGCGAGACCACGCATAGTGATATGAGACCACACCAAAAAGCCATTCATTTTGCTGACGTCTTTCCACGCGAGGTCAACAAGAATAGAACACAATAGCGCTGCGTGACGTCACACCGAATTGGGGTGAGTGCGTGTCATGTGAGATTGTCCGTGACGTCATCATTGGTCATTCCCAAACCACACGACAAGATGCACCTCTAAACGCGCGATGAGCAACGGTCTAAATGTGCTCACCCATTTTGTGCGAAGTTTGCCCACATCTGCATGAGTTTCTCCGACATGTTTTGGTCCGTGCCGTCGTACCGGAAGTTTCCGTAGCCGGTGATTGGGTAGCCGGACAGGTAGAAAAGCTCTGCGCCGTGAATGACCCCTGGAAAAAAAAAGTTTAAAAACGTAAATAACAATCTAGTTTTGTTATAGTTTTTTTGTTATCTAGTTATGTCGTTTGGGTATAAAGTACAACACGCCACTAGAGAAACATTTGTCGCTTAGATATAAAGTACAACACGCCACTTAGTACAGACTAATTCTGTTTGTTTTTAAGTTTGACAAAATGAAGCGTGGGATGCGCATTTGCATCGTTCATTAATTATTCATTGGACGTAAACAGTTATTTAATGATACAGACTCTCTACAAGACAATTAAAGACACAGACTCTCTACAAGACAGTTAAAGACACAGACTCTCTACAGTTAAAGACACAGACTCTCTACAATTAAAGACAGACTCTCTACAAGACAATTAAAGACACAGACTCTCTACAATTAAAGACAGACTCTCTACAAGACAATTAAAGACACAGACTCTCTACAGTTAAAGACACAGACTCTCTACAGTTAAAGACACAGACTCTCTACAATTAAAGACAGACTCTCTACAAGACAATTAAAGACACAGACTCTCTACAATTAAAGACAGACTCTCTACAAGACAATTAAAGACACAGACTCTCTACAGTTAAAGACACAGACTCTCTACAGTTAAAGACACAGACTCTCTACAATTAAAGACAGACTCTCTACAAGACAATTAAAGACACAGACTCTCTACAAGACAGTTAAAGACACAGACTCTCTACAAGACAGTTAAAGACACAGACTCTCTACAGTTAAAGACACAGACTCTCTACAGTTAAAGACACAGACTCTCTACAGTTAAAGACACAGACTCTCTACAATTAAAGACAGACTCTCTACAAGACAATTAAAGACACAGACTCTCTACAAGACAGTTAAAGACACAGACTCTCTACAGTTAAAGACACAGACTCTCTACAATTAAAGACAGACTCTCTACAGTTAAAGACACACTCTCTACAGTTAAAGACAGACTCTCTATAGTTAAAGACAGACTCTACACTTAAAGACAGACTCTCTACAGTTAAAGACATACTCTCTACAGTTAAAGACACAGACTCTCTACAATTAAAGACAGACTCTCTACAATTAAAGACAGACTCTCTACAATTAAAGACAGACTCTCTACAGTTAAAGACAGGCTCTCTACAATTAAAGACAGACTCTCTACAATTAAAGACACAGGCTCTCTACAATTAAAGACAGACTCTCTACAATTAAAGACAGACTCTCTACAATTAAAGACACAGACTCTCTACAATTAAAGACAGACTCTCTACAGTTAAAGACAGACTCTCTACAATTAAAGACACAGACTCTCTACAATTAAAGACGCAGGCTCTCTACAATTAAAGACAGACTCTCTACAATTAAAGACAGACTCTCTACAATTAAAGACAGACTCTCTACAATTAAAGACAGACTCTCTACAATTAAAGACAGACTCTCTACAATTAAAGACAGACTCTCTACAATTAAAGACAGACTCTCTACAATTAAAGACTGACTCTCTACAATTAAAGACGCAGGCTCTCTACAATTAAAGACAGACTCTCTACAATTAAAGACAGACTCTCTACAATTAAAGACACAGACTCTCTACAATTAAAGACGCAGGCTCTCTACAATTAAAGACAGACTCTCTACAATTAAAGACAGACTCTCTACAATTAAAGACACAGACTCTCTACAATTAAAGACAGACTCTCTACAGTTAAAGACAGACTCTCTACAGTTAAAGACAGACTCTCTATAGTTAAAGACAGACTCTCTACAATTAAAGACAGACTCTCTACAATTAAAGACACAGACTCTCTACAATTAAAGACAGACTCTCTACAATTAAAGACACAGACTCTCTACAATTAAAGACAGACTCTCTACAATTAAAGACAGACTCTCTACAATTAAAGACACAGACTCTCTACAATTAAAGACAGACTCTCAACAATTAAAGACAGACTCTCTGCTATTAAAGACCTACCACCGAACTCGTCGTAGACGGACGAGTAGTCGTAGTTGTAGAAGTAGACGGTGACGTTTCTGTCTACCAGCAGGTCAGCGGTCATCTGGGTCGGTGCCGCGATAAAGTAGTCACCCACAATCTGAAAACATGGTTTAGACCGTCTTAAAAGTCACCCACAATCTGAAAACATGGTTTGGATAGTCTTAAAAGTCCCCCACAATCTGAAAACATGGTTTAGACCGTCTTAAAAGTCACCCACAATCTGAAAACATGGTTTGGATAGTCTTAAAAGTCCCCCACAATCTGAAAACATGGTTTAGACTGTCTTAAAAGTCCCCCACAATCTGAAAACATGGTTTAGACCGTCTTAAAAGTCCCCCACAATCTGAAAACATGGTTTAGACCGTCTTAAAAGTCCCCCACAATCTGAAAACATGGTTTAGACCGTCTTAAAAGTCCCCCACAATCTGAAAACATGGTTTAGACTGCCTTAAAAGTCCCCCACAATCTGAAAACATGGTTTAGACCGTCTTAAAAGTCCCCCACAATCTGAAAACATGGTTTAGACCGTCTTAAAAGTCCCCCACAATCTGAAAACATGGTTTAGACCGTCTTAAAAGTCCCCCACAATCTGAAAACATGGTTTAGACCGTCTTAAAAGTCCCTCACAATCTGAAAACATGGTTTAGATCGTCTTAAAAGTCCCCCACAATTTGAAAACATGGTTTAGACCGTCTTAAAAGTCCCCCCCCCCCCCCACAGTATGAAAATATATTTTAAAATGAATACAACGAGCCTTAATTAGGGGACCAATTAACAGAACAATCAGCAACTTACTTCAATAAAGCCTTTTCTTATTTCATCGTCTTTGAAGTCATATGGCCATCGGTAGTACTGTTCCAAAACATTCTCTGAAATAAACATAAAGATATATACATGTAAATAGTGAATGTATATATGTATTTATATATATTTGTGTGTGTGTGTTTAAGTTATATTAGCTCTGGCTTTAGATGTTTAATTTACTAGCGCGTGAATCTAAAGTTTACAGATTTCGTCAAGGAATCGAAGCCTACCCAAGTTTCAAGGGTTACATCATTGGTAAAACACAATCATTACAAGAATTCGATGTTCGGAGCTGATCATTACAATAATTTGGTGTTATTGCCGCTGATAACACGAGACACAGACGAGCCACGGACGAGCCCCCACACAACACCCCCCCCCCCCCCCGTCTAATCCTAGAAAGGCAGCACTGTGAAGGTGGAACCTGCAATTAACCCAGAAACACAGCCAGGGCGACCCGTACTCCTCGCACGTCACACCGATCAATGGGGGGGGGGGGGCGATCAATGGGGGGGGGGGGGGGAAATCTCTGCTCACGCGTACGTTTGGCCTACAGTGCTCGCGATGACGTCAAACAACAACAACAACAGAAAACAAAATACAATAACAACAGACAACAGACAACAGACGACAAACAGCAGAACAGAACTGCAGACAACAAAATACAACAAACAACAGACAACAATTTCGTCGTATTTAGCCCAGAGTTAAGGTTCACCTATGAGTGATATCTTGCCTCTTCAACCACCCCCTTTCTTCCCACACCTCACAACCACAGCCGTATATCGACTAAAGAGATCAGAATCACCTAAAATCACACGACAAACGTCACCTCGCTCCCCGAACAATAATCCTGACACAAATCCACATGGATTTGTTATCTCCAGTGGCGTCGCTAGGTTTGGTGTCACCCGGTGCGGCACTTTGTGGTATCACCCCCCCCCCCCCCAAGAAAAAAGGATATATATATATATATATATATATATATATATATATATATATATATATATATATATATATATATATATATATATATATATATATATGTGTGTGTGTGTGTGTGTCGGCCTCTATAGGCGTATAATATATGCCGCATACACGTACATGTATGTTCATAAGCTTTAATCACTGCACACTTAACAGTACCAATGTTTATCTGTTGTCTGTTAATAATACAGTTGGATGTAGCATTGTTTTCTCTTTAGTTAGTACTGTCACGTCATATTGTGTCACCCCCACCCTCTTGTAATAATTGTCGATTTGTACATAAAATTCTATTTAACTTATCATTAATAAAACTAGCAAAAAGCAATTTTCTTCTGTACATTTAGCAATTTTTTTTACCATGGTGTTCTCCTTAAATGGTGTCACCCGGCGCGGTCCGCACCCCCGCCCCGCCCTCGCTACGCCTCTGGTACAAAGTTTCTCAACACCACCTCCCCCCCTTCGTAGTATAATGCCCCAACAATCAGACAATTCACTAATTAGGTGCGTGACGTCATTTACGTACGACCCTCCTCCCACCACTGGTTTAGACCAATCGTTGGCTAGTTTGACCAGCGTCCACACCGACCTGATCTCCCCTCCTGGGAAATATAACGAAACATTGTTAGTTGCTTGCATTGTTGGTGTGTTGGTTGGTTGGTTGGTTGGTGTGTTAGTTGGTTGCATTGTTGGTGTGTTGGTTGGTTGGTTGGTTGGTGTGTTAGTTGGTTGCATTGTTGGTGTGTTGGTTGGTTGGTTGGGGATATTCCCGAACGCAACATTAATTTGTTGCTGCGTTTGGCGGTTGTTAGATTTTACTTTAAAAATCCTACACTCCGGAAATTCCCAAACATAACATTGATTTGTATTAGCCGTATCGACCAACGACCGGTTAAGCCGGAACAAAAAACAAAACCCAACGACCGTTGAACGACCGTGCCCGGGTTAACTGCTCTAGTCGCCACCGGCTGCAACATTATTTTCCCATTGATGTGAGGCAGACAGATGGGCGTGGCAACTTCCGGTCTAGTCGACAAGAGGTGCCAGTTTATTGTAGTCTCGTAAGACTGACAGATCGATGGAGGGTCGATCACGGACGATTCGTGGGTCAACTTGCCTAATTAGGGTTGCCTAATGATAGATTGGTTGGTGTCTGCTCAGTTGCCGAGCTGGTCGGTGATACAAGGGTGTTAGTGTGGGGTACTTGTAATACAAGTTTTAGTTGGTGTGGGGTACTTGTAATACAAGTTTTAGTTGGTGTGGGGTACTTGTAATACAAGTTTTAGTTGGTGTGGTGTACTTGTAATACAAGTTTTAGTTGGTGTGGGTACTTGTAATACAAGTTTTAGTTGGTGTGGGTACTTGTAATACAAGTTTTAGTTGGTGTAGGGTACTTGTAATACAAGTTTTAGTTGGTGTGGGGTACTTGTAATACAAGTTTTAGACAGCTTAGTGTCGGTATGCTTGTCCGTTTTAATGTATGCCTGTCTTGATGTCTGTCGCTGTTAAAGTCTGTCATGATAGACTTCTGTCACGATGGCCCACTGTCATCATGGCCCGCTGTTATGATGGCCTACTGTCACAATGGCCCACTGTTATGATGGCCTACCGTCACAATGGCCCACTGTCACAATGGCCTACTGTCACGATGGCCCGCTGTTAAATTTTGTAGTATTAATCCAAACTTTAAACAGATACCTGAGGCATCATACAACTTGAAACACAAAACATTCAGTTACGTAATTGAGTTGAATGTTACCTATGGTAGTTACGTAATTGAGTTGAATGTTACCTATGGTAGTTATATAATTGAGTTGAATGTTACCTATGGTAGTTACGTAATTGAGTTGAATGTTACCTATGGTAGTTACGTAATTTAGTTGAATGTTACCTATGGTAGTTACGTAATTTAGTTGAATGTTACCTATGGTAGTTACGTAATTTAGTTGAATGTTACCTATGGTAGTTACGTAATTTAGTTGAATGTTACCTATGGTAGTTACGTAATTTAGTTGAATGTTACCTATGGTAGTTATGTAATTGAGTTGAATGTTACCTATGGTAGTTAGGTAATTAAGTTGAATGTTACCTATGGTAGATGGTAGTTATGTAATTTGGTTCAATGTTACCTATGGTAGTTACGTAATTTAGTTGAATGTTACCTATGGTAGTTATGTAATTTAGTTGAATGTTACCTATGGCAGTTAGTAATTTAGTTGAATGTTACCTATGGTAGTTATGTAATTGAGTTGAATGTTACCTATGGTAGTTATGTAATTAAGTTGAATGTTACCTATGGTAGTTATGTAATTGAGTTGAATGTTACCTATGGTAGTTATGTAATTGAGTTGAATGTTACCTATGGTAGTTAGGTAATTAAGTTGAATGTTACCTATGGTATTGGTAGTTATGTAATTGAGTTGAATGTTACCTATGGTAGTTAGGTAATTAAGTTGAATGTTACCTATGGTATTGGTAGTTATGTAATTGAGTTGAATGTTACCTATGGTAGTTATGTAATTGAGTTGAATGTTACCTATGGTAGTTATGTAATTAAGTTGAATGTTACCTATGGTAGTTATGTAATTGAGTTGAATGTTACCTATGGTAGTTATGTAATTTAGTTGAATGTTACCTATGGTAGTTATGTAATTTAGTTGAATGTTACCTATGGTAGTTATGTAATTGAGTTGAATGTTACCTATGGTAGTTATGTAATTGAGTTGAATGTTACCTATGAGGCTCCTGATGTCCGGCAGGTCAACGCTCAGGCCACTCATCACGGCCAGCAGACGAGGCAGACCTGTCCGGCCCACGCCGAAGTTGTTCAACAGGGGGTCGGCTGCGAGAGATCAGCAAGTTCAAGGTCAAACACAACAAGTTGAGATTTGTGAACACAACAAGTTGACATTTGTGAACACAACAATTTGACATTTGTGAACACAACAAGTTGACATTTGTGAACACAAGATGACATTTGTGAACACAACAAGTTGACATTTGTGAACACAATAAGTTGACATTTGTGAACACAACAAGTTGACATTTGTGAACACAAGTTGACATTTGTGAACACAACAAGTTGACATTTGTGAACACAATAAGTTGACATTTGTGAACACAACAAGTTGACATTTGTGAACACAATAAGGTGACATTTGTGAACACAACAAGTTGACATTCGTGAACACAACAAGTTGACATTTGTGAACACAATAAGTTGACATTTGTGAACACAACAAGTTGACATTTGTGAACACAATAAGTTGATATTTGTGAACACAACAAGGTGACATTTGTGAACACAACAAGGTGACATTTGTGAACACAACAAGTTGACATTTGTGAACACAACAAGTTGACATTTGTGAACACAACAAGTTGACATGTGTGAACACAACAAGTTGACATTTGTGAACACAATAAGTTGATATTTGTGAACACAACAAGGTGACATTTGTGAACACAACAAGGTGACATTTGTGAACACAACAACTTGACATTTGTGAACACAACAAGTTGACATTTGTGAACACAACAAGTTGACATGTGTGAACACAACAAGGTGACATTTGTGAACACAACAACTTGACATTTGTGAACACAACAAGTTGACATTTGTGAACACAACAAGTTGACATTTGTGAACACAACAAGTTGACATTTGTGAACACAACAAGTTGACATTTGTGAACACAACAAGTTGACATTTGTGAACACAATAAGTTGACATTTGTGAACACAACAAGTTGACATTTGTGAACACGACATGTTTAGTTTGATGAACACGAGCAGTTTAGAAAACAAAAGTTTGAGCTGTATTAAAACAAAAGTTTGAGCTGTATTAAAACAAAACTTTGAACTGTATGAAAACAAAAGTTTGAACTGTATGAAAACAAAACTTTGAACTGTATGAAAACAAAACTTTGAACTGTATGAAAACAAAACTTTGAACTGTATGAAAACAAAACTTTGAACTGTATGGAAATAAAACTTTGAGCTGTATGAAAACTACAAGTCAAGACCTACGACAATGTGTATCAAGAGAGATAACACTGTCCACACAAAATGGGTCGAATACTGTTATAGGACCCACATACCTAGAATGACCCACATACTTACAATAAAACTCACATACTCGCAATAAGTAACACATACCTACGGAGTGGTCTAGCGGTAGAGAGCTGGACTGCTAACCCGTTAGTCTCGAGTTCGAATCCGGGTTCAAGTCAGTAGACCGTACCTGAGTCCACCCAACTCTGATGGGTACCTAACTCACGTTAGGGAGAGTAAAGGCGGCTGGGCATAGTGCTGACCACACTATCTCTTCATATGCCGAGGTCACAGAAACAAGTGAACTACTTCACTTGCCCCATAGACCGTCAGGATTGAAAGGGAAACTTTACTTTACTTTACTACCTACACTAAGACCCACACACATACAATAAGAAACACCTACATTAAGACCCAAATACCTACACTAAAACCTACGTGCCTACAAAAAGACCAACACACCTATAAAACGACCCACTTACCTACAATAAGACCCACACACCTGCGATAAAAACCACATACCTACAATAAGACCCACTCACCCGCTACAAGACCCACGTACCTGCTATAAGACCCACATACCTGCTATAAGACCCACATACCTGCTATAAGACCCTCGTCAGTTGTGGTGCCTGTAAGAATCTCCTGACCGTTGATCTCACCTGTCGCTGCCAGACGCTCAGGTGTGTCAGGTAAAACTCGGCCATCGACCACTGGTCTAAAGGGCGGCACCAGCGATACTGGGTGCTGGGAATAGAGGGGTCATAGGTTAACTGACCAGTACACAACAGAGGGTCATAGGTTAACAGACCAGTACACAACAGAGGGTCATAGGTTAACAGACCAGTACACTAACAATTACAAAGAAACTTGTAACTGCAGTTTTTGTAAAGACAAAAAGACTAAAGAGAGCCGATAAATATGATTTGACTTTCTCAATAAAGAAATGTTAAGCTTTCCACGTCTATCAAATGCTGTTAGTGTTATAAATAAAACAACGAATCAGTCTCCAGCCGTCAGACAACTTCCGGTCTAGATTTGTTGTCGACCAGCAGACGATATAGCGCGAGCTTGTCAGTGTACGGCCACCTCGGATATTATGGACGGCCACCTCGGATATTATGGACGGCCACCTCGGATATTATTTATGAGAGTACATCGGGACTTCCCGCTGAGATAGCCGCAATGAAAAGTTCGTGTTTCAAAAACCTACTGATGAATTTATGGATTATTTTGTTTCTAGTTCCTATAGCTTTAAAATCTTGGAAGCGTAGCAGGGGGTACCTAAACTGTTGAGTACTTTATATATATATATATATATATATATATATATATATATATATATATATATATATATATATATATATATATATATATATATATATATATATATATATATATATATCAGATGGGACTCACGAGACTACGAGATCCCAAAATTGTAGTTCAGGCAAACAGAACAGTCAAAGCTGACAAAAAGTACAATTTCGATACATAAACAGCCAATTTTCTAACAAAATTAAGGTAATGTTTCCAGCGAAAGTTTTTTCAAACTTTGAATGTCATAAAAGGAGGATACATCCATATGCCATAAAGGGGTAATATCAGTGGCGTAGCGAGGGGGGGGGGGGGGCGGGGGTGCGGTGACACCATTTAGGAGGGTGACACCAAGGCAAAAAATAGCAAAATATATAGAGAAAAATGATAATTCCACTTAATTAAGTGATTAATTCGAGTGTTTTAAGAGCAAATTTCACAAATCCCGACAAGGGTGGAGGGGGGGGGGGGGTTGCTAATCGAAAGTTTGAGAGGGGGGGGGTGCAAATCGAAAATTGAAAGTTTGTCCCCGGGCGCCGGAAGGGTCGCTACGCCTCTGGGGGGTGACACAATTAAGTGCCGCACCGGGTGACACCCGCCCTCGCTACGCCACTGGGTAATATATCCCAATGTCATAAAAGCATGTTACATCCACATGTATCCATGCTTTACCTCCGGCTGATCGTAGATCACTTTCTGGATGGCCTCCGATGACTTCTGCTTCAAGCACTTCTTCACTTCTGCCGTACCGTTACCGTAGCAGCCGACCGCCGCAGTGAAGAGCTTAAAGTAGAAATTGGAGGCGGCCGGATGACGCGTCACCGCCCAGTCGGCGAATGGGGAGCCGCTCTGCTGGATGGCCCTCGTGAACAGACCTGAAAAACAAAGGCTGTGTCAGCAGACGACCAACAGAAATACAACACGTCGTGAGTGTCCTTCACACGTGGGACATCTGACACAAATCATGATTGGGTCGTGAACAGCTGTACATGACCTTTACCTAGCTGTAACTGACCTTTATCTAGCTATAACTGACCTTCATCTAACTGCAAATGACCTTTATCTAGCTGCAAATGACCTTTATCTAGCTGGAAATGACCTTTATCTAGCTGCAAATGACCTTTATCTAGCTGCAAATGACCTTTATCTAGCTGCAAATGACCTTTAGTAACTGACCTTTATCTAGCTGTAACTGACCTTTATCTAGCTGTAACTGACCTTCATCTAACTGCGCATGACTTTTATCTAGATGACCTTTACCTAGCTGTAACTGACCTTTATCTAGATGACCTTTACCTAACTGTAACTGACCTTTAGCCATGGGCATAAGCATGAGGAGCCCCACACTGCAGCCACCCGCACTGTGTCCGTCTATGGTGACGCGGCTGGGGTCGCCGCCAAAGTGGTGGATGTTGTGCTGGATCCACCGCAGCGCTTCCAATTGGTCCAGCAGTCCCAGGTTCCCGGGGAAGGCGTCGTCATTGGTCTCAAGGAAACCTGAAACAAAGGCGGCGTCATTGGTCTCAGCCTGAAACAAAGGCGGCGTCATTGGTCTCAGCCTGAAACAAAGGTGGCGTCATTGGTCTCAAGGAAACCTGAAACAAAGGCGGCGTCATTGGTCTCAGTCTGAAACAAAGGCGGCGTCATTGGTCTCAAGGAAACCTGAAACAAAGGCGGCGTCATTGGTCTCAGCCTGAAACAAAGGCGGCGTCATTGGTCTCAAGGAAACCTGAAACAAACGTGGCGTCATCGGTCTCAGCCTGAAACAAAGGCGGCGTCATTGGTCTCAAGGAAACCTGAAACAAAGGCGGCGTCATTGGTCTCAGCCTGAAACAAAGGCGGCGTCATTGGTCTCAGCATGAAGCAAAGCGTCGTTATTGGTCTCAAGGAAACTTGAAACAAAGTCGGTGCTTCGAACGTGAAGCACACATAAGACACATAAAACACAGATATCCACGATGATGTTTCAAACCTGAAATGCCCGAAACACATTTGTTGTGAAGTTTAACGAGAGTTTGATCTGGCAGACAGAAATATTTTTTACAGGCCAGCACGTGAAACAATCAACATGTCACACTGCATCATCACACGCTGAAGTCTGTCAAAATACTTTGTGTTTGTTTATTTTTCTAGACGTAAACATCACAGCTACTGTATTTTATGGGTGCTAAAATCAACTTGATTATTCTTTTACTATATAAATCAAAGGTTTGTGTGCTGAGGTCAACTATATTATTATATTGCTGTGTTTTGTGTGCTGAAGTCACGCTTAAGTCTGAGTCACCTGTCCATTTGATCATTACAGTAAACCATTGCTTTAGCTGCACATCCTTAAATAAAACTCAAAATAAATGCAATCCAATCCTTCGATAGCCATTTATTTGCGCCACTTGCTATTTTAAAAAAATGAATCTGCTGATAAAATTATTTTGACTAGCGATGATTCTACCTGGGAAATATTATCTAAATAAACAAACTCAATGCCGGGCGTTGATACATTTGCCGGGTTCATAAAAAAAGTCTATCCTGTCTGTCTAAACGGAGATTTTCCCGGCAGTCCGCACATGAATTCCCCGCCAGGAATTTTATAAGACGATCACGCTGCGCTGATGGACGGCGATGTGTTTCCTTGGCGGGCCAGACGCCATCTCAAGATAAGGCACCCGCCCTGCCGGCAGGGCACCCGGCTGGCCGGCAGGGCACCCGGCTTGCCGGCAGGGCTCGATGATCGCGTCAACTCTCAGACGGAAATCTACTTGTGACGTCACGTCCGAAGCGTCCATAATTTAGATCAAATATTATTTTTTAATTTTTTTGGGAGTAATCTCCTCCGCCATAATTGGCAGAAAAAGTAGATGGCGCCACTTTCAACAGTGGAGACGAAAACATACGACTACATGTCCTTGGGTTACGGTAGTATCAGTAAGCAGAGTTATTGCAAAGAGAGTGGCTAATTGATGGATTGTAGGAAAAAAAGTCACAGGAAAAAAAACACAGGAAAAAAAAAAACAGAAAAAAAGTCACAGGAAAAAAAGTCACAGGAAAAAAAGTCACAGGAAAAAAAGTCACAAATATATATTTGCATGATATTTGTTAATACTTTTATGTATTAAATATTTAGAGAGTGCAAATTAACTTAGGATTAATTAAATGTAATGTAATGTGTTTAGGCTGTATACGTATAGGAATTTTTATAATTCATCTAAAAATATTTATTATGAAGTATGTTGATTGTAATTATTTTAAACTTAAGATTAGTAGCATTTAATAGAATGCTCCAAAGTCCACGTTTTTCATTGTGTTTCTTTTTTTAAATACCTATATTAAATTACCGTGAAATGGTTCGTTCATCTGACTTGTTGCCCTCAACTCATGGCAACAATAGTTATGTTTAGTTCAACCACCTTTACTGCCCACATTTATCACGCTCATTACATAACAAAACTTAAGATCAAAACAGAAAGCCGACAAGGTTCAAAGGCTGTCGATGACGCATAACGTCAACAACACAAAATATGTTCGGACAATGCCTACTGAGGAGAGGCCGACCAGAGAATAGCCTACGGAAAATGTGCCTAAATGTCTTTTATAATTAACTTTTCTACCGCGTATTTAACTAAATACATAACAAATGTTGAGATTGATGTGTTAATTATCTTAGAGTATTTTTACTTACAATTGTTATAAATCATAATGCTTTTAACCTCCATAAATAATTTATGCTATCAAAAAATAAAACCCACAACAATGAGCATACAAAATTTTACAATTCTTAACAAATTAATAAAATATTTCTAAAAAGATTTTTGTGACTTTTTTTCCTAGCAAAATCTGTGACTTTTTTTCTGTGTTTTTTTTTCCTGTGACTTTTTTTCCGTTTACCAATTGATGGGGTAGGGTAGTGGTAAGGGTCTGACTCGCTAATTTATAACAGCAAATTGTAAGAAGTCTTGTAGACCACAGTTCCACAAACTCATGGAGATGTTTCAGCCAGCCCCGCCCTAAACTAACAATTAATTAAAATTTCATTTAATTAACTAATGTAATTAATTTTAATTTCATTAAATTAACTATTGTAATTAATTTTAGTTTCACTAAATAAGACATATATAGATAGATTGACATAATTTTAGCTTTGATTAATTAGAAAAAGTTAGTTTTTAAAATTTAATCCTAAGTTTAAAAAACATTAAAAATAAATAAATATTTGGACCAACCAACCAACAGTTGTTGACAAATACAATACTGTCGAGAAAATCCCGAGCTTATTTTTACGGTTTGTAAATTAAACTTGGTGCCTCAGTGGCCCGATGATTAAAACAATCGGCTTAACCGGCAACCTTAAGACGGATCAGCCGTCTCCCCACTAGTCGGCACGGCGACACGCTCTAAATCTGGCCACATTCAAACCGGCGAACACAATTTTTCTGCCCAGCGAGCGCAGATAAAGTTGAAAGACACCGGTACATGACGTATGGGTCAGTTGGCCAGCAACCCTTCTATAGCGGGTTGGCATTCGTGGTTGGCACACGTCAAGATAAATCCTGGAGTGATGTTCAATAAAACATGGGGAGGCGCGCGGGGGGGGGGGGGGGGAGATAATTTTAATCCGTCCAAAATTATCGTCGTCTGTTGGAGCTAGGTACTTTCTGATAGTTGGCTAGGTACTTTATGTCTGTCTGACTGAGCTAGGTACTTAATGTTTGTCTGACTGAGCTAGGTACTTTCTGATAGTTGGCTAGGTACTTAATGTCTGTCTGACTGAGCTAGGTACTTAATGTCTGTCTGACTGAGCTAGGTACTTTCTGATAGTTGGCTAGGTACTTAATGTCTGTCTGACTGAGCTAGGTATTTAATGTCTGTCTGACTGAGCTAGGTACTTTCTGATAGTTGGCTAGGTACTTAATGTCTGTCTGACTGAGCTAGGTATTTAATGTCTGTCTGACTGAGCTATTTACAAACGTAGGCTGGACACCAACCTGCTGTAACAAACGTCAACTCTAGCTCGGCACACGGGACTGTTAGCTCTAACATAGGTGGTGTAGCCAGCAGGGGTAGCAAAGACTTCTGGTGTAGCCTGCAGGGGTAGCTCTAACATAGGTGGTGTAGCCAGCAGGGGTAGCAAAGACTTCTGGTGTAGCCTGCAGGGGTAGCTCTAACATAGGTGGTGTAGCCTGCAGGGGTAGCAAAGACTTCAGGTCTAGAGTGACTGTTAGCTCAAACATAGGTGGTGTAGCCTGCAGGGGTAGCAAAGACTTCTGGTGTAGCCTGCAGGGGTAGCAAAGACTTCTGGTCTAGAGACCACGTGATCTACCATGTAGAGGGAACTAACAACAGGTGGGGGGGGGGTGCTCAGATCAGTTCCTCTAGTCAGGTCAGGCCAGACACATTTTTTCACCGTCGCTTTTCTTCAAGTCTAATGCTCGTTTTGTCAAAGGATCGTCAAATAAAACAAAACAGCTGATTACTTGAGGCTCTCAGGGGACTGGCCTAGTACTCAGTCCACGGTCGGCACGCCACTGTGGATGGTTGCTGGATGGTTGCTGGGATGTGTGATGATTGTTGGGATGTGTGATGATTGCCTGGATGTGTGATGATTGTTAATGATTGTTTAGGTATGAAAGTAAAAACCTGTGTTGTGCACTTTGTTTTGCTCCAAAAATAGATAACAGACAACAGTTTTAACGACCGAAATCCCAATTAGAAGTGCGAGCCATAATGTAAAAATCTGGCCACATCACGTGCCAATAAAACATCACGGAAAGCGCGCCAAATTTGTTTGGACATTCGATAAGTGCCGAGCGGCAGCAGACGGCGGAGTGTGATCACGCGACTTGCTCACGTTCAAGACATTCTGGGGGGAAACCCGATTTCTACCAAAATTTCTTCAGTTCAAGACATTCTGGGGGGAAACCCGATAACTACCAAAATTCTTCATCTGCTAAAAATCGCCCCCCCCCCCTCTCCCCTAATCCAGCATACCACGCCACTTACCGTAACCTTCCCTCTTAATTTCAGTAATTGAATTGAATCTGGAAAGTCCTCCAGCCGGTAGGTTTGTGAAATACAATCAAAAGTTAATTCACTGCCGCGGTGGCAGTAATCAAGGCACTCGACTGGGTGTAACACAAGAGATGGATGTATAGGTAGGCGTACAGTGGCGGGGGGTGTTAGTTTTGTTGCGGGGGGGGGGGGGGGTGTTGATGGGCTCGTTGATGGTTTGGTTAATGGTTTGGTTGATCGGTGGTTGATTGGGGGGGGGGGGGTGTCGAACTTTGTTGGAGGTCTGGATTAAGGTTTGGATGATGAGCGGTTGAAGTTATTCTCCTTGAAGCTGATGAGCTTCTGAGACGCCGATTGTAGCCACAGTTAGAACCGTTGAGCCCATGGTCTGACGGCATTGTCTAAGATAACGTCTGATCGAACATGTTCAGTAGATTGAGTTATTGTCTAAGATAACGTCTGATCGAACATGTTCAGTAGATTGAGTTATTGTCTAAGATAACGTCTGATCGAACGTGTTCAGTAGATTGAGTTATTGTCTAAGATAACGTCTGATCGAACATGTTCAGTAGATTGAGTTATTGTCTAAGATAACGTCTGATCGAACATGTTCAGTAGATTGAGTTATTGTCTAAGATAACGTCTGATCGAACGTGTTCAGTAGATTGAGTTATTGTCTAAGATAACGTCTGATCGAACGTGTTCAGTAGATTGAGTTATTGTCTAAGATAACGTCTGATCGAACATGTTCAGTAGATTGAGTTATTGTAAAAACACGTTTTATCGTGGGCTTCGGTTAATAAAAGTATAATGATCGAATGAAACAATCCCATTGGTCGATGTAACAGTCACGTGTTGTCTAAATAGTTCAAAGGTCAAGACATAATCAACACAGCCTTATGACGGCCATTTTTGTTGTTGTTATTGCAAACAATTGTCCTATAAGTCTAACCATCTATTGCTCTACGCTCATAGAATTATAAAAATATGAATGTTATTCTGCCGGGAGGAAGTTCGACCAGCAGACGAATTCATTCATCAACTCACCTAGCGGGCCCAGCCTGTAGTTGAACGTGACCACATTCATCAACTCACCTAGCGAGCCTAGCCTGTAGTTGAACGTGACCACATTCATCAACTCACCTAGCGGGCCTAGCCTGTAGTTGAACGTGACCACATTCATCAACTCACCTAGCGGGCCTAGCCTGTAGTTGAACGTGACCACATTCATCAACTCACCTAGCGGGCCTAGCCTGTAGTTGAACGTGACCACATTCATCAACTCACCTAGCGGGCCTAGCCTGTAGTTGAACGTGACCACATTCATCAACTCACCTAGCGGGCCCAGCCTGTAGTTGAACGTGACCACATTCATCAACTCACCTAGCGGGCCTAGCCTGTAGTTGAACGTGACCACATTCATCAACTCACCTAGCGGGCCCAGCCTGTAGTTGAACGTGACCACATTCATCAACTCACCTAGCGGGCCTAGCCTGTAGTTGAACGTGACCACATTCATCAACTCACCTAGCGGGCCTAGCCTGTAGTTGAACGTGACCACATTCATCAACTCACCTAGCGGGCCTAGCCTGTAGTTGAACGTGACCACATTCATCAACTCACCTAGCGGGCCCAGCCTGTAGTTGAACGTGACCACAACGATATCCCGTGCGGCAAGATGGCTGCCGTCTATCATGGCGCCCATCCCGTTTTGATAACTTCCGCCGTGGATGAAGACTAGAACGGCGTGACGCTTGCGGTCGTCTGCTGTGTGCCTCTGGTGGTGGCGGCTCATCTGTGGAACAAACATTTCAACTTGGTCATCGTTGTCGTAAGGGTTAGAACTTGCATCGATATATATATATATATATATATATATATATATATATATATATATATATATATATATATATATATATATATATATATATATATATATATATATATATATATATATATATATATATGTACTTTTTGGCATATATATATATATATATATATATATATATATATATATATATATATATATATATATATATATATATATATATATATATATATATATATATATATATATATATATATATATATATATATATATATATCACATGGGGGCAGTAGAAACTGGCATGTAATTGAACAGGAAATCGAGCCCATTTTTTTACTGCTACTAAATCAGAGAACAGATAACTCTCAGTTGGATTTGTCATAGCTAGAGTCTTGCTTCATGTTGTTTAGATAGGGCGTTTGGCGCCACCTATAAAGTCTATTTATAGCTCTCGCGCCATTTCACTGTTCGTACATGAAGCTTAATGCAAGCATGCCTCGACTGGGTACTCAACTAGCCACCGTAATTAATCGTAGTGATAATAAAATACTTAAAAAAAACTTTTAAAAAAACCACGTTTTTCTTGTGGACTAAAAAGTAGAAAATAACTATTTACATACATTTGATGACAAAAAACGTGGGTACGTTCACCATCAAATTTCCCGACCCATCTGCCCGACCCACGTTTTTTGTCATCAAATGTATGTAAATAGTTATTTTCTACTTTTTAGTCCACAAGAAAAACGTGGTTTTTTAAAAAGTTTTTTTTAAGTATTTTATTTTCTCCTTTTTAGTCTGTTGCTACACATGAAAAACGTGGTTTTTAAAAAAGTGTTTATAAATACACGGACTAAAAATCTTGAGCGACCAGGATTCGAACCTGGGTTGTCGCGGCCACAACGCGAAGCACTAACCACTATACGATCACGGCCAGCGCGCTCACATCGATTGGGGCCGAAGTAACTGTGTCAATAGGCCTCAAGTCTTGTCGGTATCTTTAGAAATCATGTCCTCAATTTTATGGTCCTTGTGGCGTAATTAAATTAAGCTAATTACGGTCACTAATTGCTAGTTTTTATGATTGCATCTGAAATTGTTAGGCGAAAGTAGCATGCATGCCAAATTTCAGGTCTCTAGAGCAATCAGAAGTGGGCTAATTTTCGATGTCAATTTTAACAACAAACATCCAAACAACCAAACAAACAAACAAACGCGAAGCTGAGTTAAGAAAAACGTTTTAAAAGAAAAGAACAGCTTTCCCTGTTTTAGTTCGTTTCAATATCCGATTTCACAACATTGACCAAAAAATGACCGATATCACAACCCAAATACACAAAGAGAGCTTTTGATGTAGAAAATGATAAATATACTATTTACAAACTTATCACCCATCACATACCCAAAGCTTACCATCACCCACCCCCCAAAAAGCTTACCTACACACCTCCAAACGAATCACCCATCACTTAACCTAAGCTTACTCGCAATCGCATATCTAAAAACCTATCTTTCAATCACAATCCACAGAACTTATCATCAAGCCTATTATTGATAAAAAAAAAATACCTTAATTTGATCAAAAAAAAAAAAAGAAAAACAACCCCGCACCTTTTTCTTTATTCTACTGCAGGATCATGTTTGGAAAAAATATCTCGCCAGTTGGGATTTAAAAGATGGATACAACGCACCAGCAAGTTGGTGTTATGTTGCACGGAGAGAAGATGTTGCGACTTAACAATTGGTGCAGGGTGGATCGCAGTGTTTCTTGCAGACTTTTATCTCGGGGGGGGGGGGGGGACTTATTGTTTTTTTTGGGGGAGATGGTGGGCTGAGCTCCCCAAAGAGATGCCTGGAAGAAACTCTGGTAGACTGTGAGGTTTATCAGTTGAGGGTAGAGTACACAGACCTGTGACACAGCTGTGTACCTGGGTACCGTCACGCGTGAGTGAACATGTATGGAGCCCCGAGCACAAGAAACGATCAGACCTGCACCCGACAGGACTCGAACCTCCCTCTCCTGAGGCCACCCGTGTTTACACTGGCCACTAGACCATCTGGAACCGCCCCCTCGGAGAGTGCGAGAGAATTTACTTTTCTGGCCGACCCATCACGTGCCCGCCAGGTCCACTCAACCGTGGAGCGCACGTGCTTTACTCACGCGCCCACCCCACAGCGACTGGTGGCGCCGTCACGGGTCACGTCGACCTCGCACCAACAGACCAACAGATTTGTTTGTACACTCTCCGCCCCGGGAGGTGGGAAAACTCATCCGGTGGGGTTCCGGTAGGGAGGGGAGTTCTGCAGAACGATTTAGCTGGGTGCGACCAACCCCCTCCCCGTAAAGTCTAGAACTTTCTACTGTTTATCGAGCTGCCCTGTAATACATCACCCGTGTCATGATGGTCAACATGTCAGCTGTAGAGAATGACAATGCAAAGTAAGTCGATAGCATGGAAACACCACTTTATCAATAGAGCAAGATGGACACCTTCAGAATACTTGACCAGGCTATTTACTTCTAATTTCATCCTCAACCAAACTATTTACTCCAGACTCTGATTGTCAAATTTAATCAATCCACGTCTCTAACTAGAGTACAAACTCACAAACACCATGTACAAACTCACAAACACCATGTACAAACTCACAAACACCATGTACAAACTCACAAACACCATGTACAAACTCACAAACACTATGTACAAACTCACAAACACCATGTACAAACTCACAAACACTATGTACAAACTCACAAACACTATGTACAAACTCACAAACACCATGTACAAACTCACAAACACCATGTACAAACTCACAAACACCATGTACCAACTCACAAACACCATGTACAAACTCACAAACACCATGTACAAACTCACAAACACCATCTCCCAAGATTAAACAAAATGACGGGCATCACGTGGCTTGAGGACATAACACGTTTATGGTGACGGCACACGTTTATAATTGAAAAGAAAATTAATTTTTTGTTCGATTCGGTCGATAAGATGCTGTTTTACTGCCAGACCACGGAGAGAAGGGGCGGGTCGGGGTGGGGGGGGGGGGGGGTGTTGGGGTAGGGTAGTAGTGGGGGGGGGGGAGTTGATTTTAGTCAACAATTATAAAGTAAAGTATATGACAGTGATCTACACCACCCAATTGAGTAAATGACAGTTAACCACATTATAGGTTCAGTGACCTACATATTGTGATGGGTGGGGGGGGGGGGGCGGGGACACGACGACAAGACATTAGTTCAGTGACCTACATATTGTGATGGGGGGCACAAGACATTAGTTCAGTGACCTACATATTGTGATGGATGGGGGGGGGGGTGCACAAGACATTAGTTCTGTGACCTACATAGTGTGATGGGTGGGGGGGGGGACAATACATTAGTTCAGTGACCTACATATTGTGATTGGGGGGGGGACGGACAAGACATTAGCTCAGTCACCTACATATTGTGATGGGTGGGCTACAAGACATTATTTAAGTGACCTACATATTGTGATGGGGGGGGGGGGACAAGACAGTTCAGTGACCTACACATTGTGATGGGGGGGGGGGGGGGACAAGACATTAGTTCAGTGACTCATATATTACGATGGGCTACAAAAGTTGCGCTCAATGTGTAGGGTCAAAGGTTACAGGCTTGGATTAAGAAGAAAAGCCATACAAAACGACGACGCTCCAGTATCAAATTCTCACATCGTTGTCAAGCTGGAAGTAAAATAATAACTTGCTATCTAGCTGGCATGTCTGTAGGTGGCTAGCTGATCTATGCTGCCGTATATTTCAGCATATACGCTGACAGCATATTTTTTACTAAGGCGCTGATGTTCGCTACTAGCATATTTGAACATTTTTATCACGTGCTTATGTACCCTTCTAGCATATTTCAACATTTTTATTGCGGCGCTGATGTACGCTACTAGCATATTTCAACATTTAAACTACCGTGTTGGTGTACGCTACTAGCATATTTCAACATTTTTATCACGTGCTTATGTACGCTACTAGCATATTTCAACATTTTTATTGCGGCGCTGATGTACGCTACTAGCATATTTCAACGTTTTAACTACTGCGCTGGTGTACGCTACTAGCATATTTCAACGTTTTTATTACCGCGTTGGTGTACGCTACTAGCATATTTCGACATTTTTATTGTGGCACTGATGTACGCTACTAGCATATTTCAACGTTTTAACTACTGCGCTGGTGTACGCTACTAGCATATTTCAACATATTAACTACCGCGCTGGTGTACGCTACTAGCATATTTCAACATTTTAACTACCGCGCTGATGTACGCTACTAGCATATTTCAACATTTTAACTACTGCGCTGGTGTACGCTACTAGCATATTTCAACATTTTAACTACTGCGCTGGTGTACGCTACTAGCATAACGCTGCTTCACTGTGGAAATATTCCCTCGTCCCGGCAGTCGACAGGGGCAGATAAGCAAGGATTAAAAGAAAGCGTTAGTTTGATAAATGGGCGACGTAGCCGTCTGCTTGACGTCTGCATCAAACTGCCGCCTCGTTTTCAAACTTTTATATGAGCTCATTTACACTCCCAGGTAATTAAGAACTGGTTTCCTGTCTGAAATAATTAATTTGTCGACCCGGCAAATCAGACATTTTTCTGGCTATTTAAAACAAACGTACTCTATTATGACATACAGGCCAACATTTTTAAACAGCCGTCTCCGCAAATATTTCGTGGCCCACCAAACCAAACTGTGGCCCACCAAACCAAACTGTGGACCACCAAACCAAACTGTAGCCCACCAAACCAAACTGTGGACCACCAAACCAAACTGTGGACCACCAAACCAAACTGTTGACCACCAAACCAAACTGTAGCCCACCAAACCAAACTGTGGACCACCAAACCAAACTGTGGCCCACCAAACCAAACTGTGGACCAC